ATTTTCCGTGGCATTTATTTATAAAAAAAAAAGTTCGCGGAAATAGTCCGAAATGGCATTTTCGAGTCCCTAAATTTCAAAATTTTCTGGGGGGGCGTGCCTCCAGACCTCCTAGTTTGGGGCGCCTTCGACGCTCCCAATTTCCGCGCTGTGCATACACCTTCGAAATCTCACCCTACGCCCCTGTTATATTTATATAATATATGGCTCGTTTAGGACGATACAGACTTAAAGAAGACTTACAGTCCTTATACACTTAGAATACGCGATATCTACACTTATGATAAATTGGAAATTCGCGATCGGTGAGGAAGGTCATGATTAATTACCATGAGCGTCTGTTCCATGGCGGGGAAGTTACGAAAAAGGAAAAAAGAGCGTTTCAAGGCGCTTCACTCTTATTGGACCTCGAGGGAGCAGCTGAAATAAAGCCTATAATTTAAGCAGATACTAGAAGGTACGAATGCCAAGTCCGTGGCATTCATAAATACTGTAATGAGATTAGTGTAGTTTACTCTGTATGCTCGACTTGTCACCAATGTATCGGATCGATCAGGGTTTTCATAACTGGGATGTGAAAATGTATCGGTTTTGACAGTTTTGGATGCGGTTTTCGGTTTTGATCGATTTTTATTTCGGTTTTTCGGTTTTGGATGATTTTTTCTACGGTTTTGCGGTTTCCAATGGGCTCTAATGCCCCCCTCCATTTCCATAAGCCGAAAAGTGAATTATTTACTAACTCTACAAGTGTTAACCTGAGAAATTAGATAAATAGTATAAGACAATAAAACTTCGCAGCAGATAAAGCTCTCTAGAAGAGGAAAGTGAAAACTAATACGGCGTAGTGAATAAAGAGAGATACGTGTTTTCGGGCTTTAGAGATTTGTTCTGTTCTTCAAACGGTCTGAACACATTCTGAGTCTTCTGTAGTGCAAAGGAGAAATATGAAACCTATGCAACTTGCAGCCAGCAGGTATGTAATTTACTATCTACTTTTCACCAGTCCCCACCATGTGATGATATCGTACAGATTGTCATTGGCAACACGGCGCTAGCAAAACCTTACGCAACGCCTACGAGTGTCAACCACAAGCCATATAAAGACTGAGGTAGATAGGTTTTGACTGGGTAATAAGAAAGCTTTCTTTCTTGTTATGATCCTTTTAATGGTAGCTTTCGCTAAATACCACAACCGAAGTGGAATACAACAAAGAACAGCTCAACTACTACAGGATTTGTTACGTTGTCACTGATTTCTTAACCGAGGGTCTGCGAATTATCTTTAAACAAGAATGGGATAATCGCTACTTTGCGACACCGTCGGGAGAATGGAAAGATAAAGCTAGAAATGGAGTGGATTTTAAAAAACGAGGAATCAGCCCGTAATCCAAAAAGAAATGCGCATCTCCTTGAAACCATGATCGGTGGAAACGGAGCTGATTAGGATTGTAAAATACTGTTCTAAGCCATTCTTTTCTCGGATTGTATTCACAGCCTTAGCCCAGGAATGTATCTTGATGATGTCAGTTGTTTATTGGAGAATCTCTCAGGACAAAGGGATGAACATGAAAGTTGCTCAGGCGTTGGACTACCAGCCTCCCCCCTTAATTAGCAAGTGCTGCCACTTATGTAAGAGAAGCTGGACAGACATCGAAATTTAGCTGGAAAGAATCTCTTTAAAAACTTGCAGCAAGCCAAAGAAATGAGCGGCCATGGAGACCTTTCTTGCTGAAGTCAACCCAAGCTATCCAAAATCCACGAACAAAGCAACAACATTGGTAGTAGAAACAGCCATGGCATCTACAAAATTGTACATCTCGTCTTTTATTTCCTGTGTCTGTGTGCACCTCAATCAGTAAGTCTTAATATCATTAAAGACTTCATCCTAAGTGTGGATAAAGAAATTCAAGACAAAGAGATGAGTCATTTCAAGATACAGAGGTGCTCACTGCTGGGTTCTATACAAAAAAGGTGGGTGACCCGAGTCAGGTAAAAGAATATTGTGATCGTGCACTGGCCATTCGTTTGAAAATGCTTTAATCTGAGCATATTTACGTCGCAGCTTCTTACGGTAACCTGGGTTCTGTACTAAAAAAGCTGGGTGACGGGAGTCAGACAAAGATTATCATGGTCGTGCACTAGCCATTTGTCTGAAAAAGCGTGGATCTGAATATGTTAACGTCGCAGCTTCTTACGGTAACCTGGGTTGTGTACACAAAAAGCCGGGTAACGTGAGTCAGGCAAAAGATTACCATGATCGTGCACTGGCCATTCGTCTGAAAAAGCTTGGACCTGGACACACTAAGGTCGCAGCTGCTAACAATCACTCGGGGCCTGTGCACCGTAATCTGAGTTATTAGTAACGCAAGAGCTTCTTGCTATTGATCAAAAACAGAATTTGGATGTAACTATGTTCGGATTGCGACTAGTGACAATAACCTACGTTACAAACGGTTTAGTGACCTGGAGTTCCTATCTTACCACAAAAAACGTCTTTGAAAGTTAACGTTAATTCAATTTTTAGGTATTTTCTTTCATTGGCGTGACAACTCATCGTCATAGCGACGTCAAAAGACAATATAAGAGTTCTTACCACCCATCCCTCGTTAAAAAAGGAAGATAGCTGTAGAAAGTTAAGTCCTAATAAAAAACCGTTTAAGGTTATACTGCTGGTGTAAGAGAGTCTACTTTATTTTTCCATTTGCAATAGGTCCGATAATCCAAGCTGGGGGTCAACGCAGAAGAAGAAACACAAGAGCTAATTGCCACTTTATTTCATGTAATAGTATCCCACTTTTTCTTTGTTTCTATATTGTTTACCAAGTTAGCTCCAACGTATTTCCGGTCATACAAATTTAACTTTGTAAAAATTTCAACTAATGCAATTTCTTATTGTACTTGATGAAGACGGATTTAGCCGAAGTAAAGATTACACTGAAAATGGACTTTGCACGCTAGAACCAAACAAGGGCTGACTCGTCACCAGTTGTTCCAAAATGTGCGCGGTACTTAAGTGGGGAGAGAGGGGCAAAGGTAAGGAGGAGGGAGGAGACTTCATTTCGCTTTCTCTCTACACGTCACACTTCGCGCTCCCATACTACGCGTGTCAGTTGCCTCCGGTTCGAAGATTTGAGACGAGCCTGGAAAGAAAGAAAATAAGAAATAATGGATACCATTGTCAGTGCTTACTCTCCTCTGGGACACTAAGCCGAGTCCTTGGTTTCAATTCCTCCGGAATTTTGTGTAGAAAACGGAAGAGCATTTCGTGCTGTAGAGAAGGTACCCCCACTTCTTATAAGCAGAGCCCTTTATATGGGCTGTATATGGAGTACCCCCTCCCATGAGGTGCTTATGCCATGCCAAGTCTCTCCTTTTTCATTTTCTCGCTCATGAAAGATGCCCGTTGTAAACCTCCTATAGATCCCTACGCCCCACACATAATTCTGACGCCGTGACTACTCAATTCCTTTTCCCTCCCCTTCTCATCAAAGAACTTTTTCATTGGCAAATCTCTTTCCCACAATCCTCTTTCTTCTTTCCTGGAGGACCCCAGAAAACGGGGCTGATTGAAGGCATATTCTTTGAGGGATGCATGTCTATCTAAAGTAATATTCGGCCAGTTTGATTTCCAGTTTGATATAAAGGTCGAAGGTGGAGAAACGTCACCACGACAGACTTCAGGGGACCTCTCAGTTTGTCGAATTTGTGTTTAAGAACGATTTCAATTAAATGTCCGAAGCAATTTAAGATTGCAATGGTTTTGCTTGACTTAACTCTGTGATTGATCCAGAAAACTTACCCACTCCACTCAGGCTGTTTCCTTCTTTTAAACTCTTTAACTCCCATGAGTGACCAAGACAGAAATTCTCCTTTCAATATCAATACAATATCAAGCAGACAAGCCATGAGAATAAAGAAAAATATGAACTAGGGGATTATTGGTTGATCCAATTCAAAGTATACTTGAGTAATAGTAATAGAAAGGATATCTTCTTGGGGCCAGCTCAAGAGCCTCGTCGTTCCTCGATGGGTCTATACTCTGGGCTTCCATAATGATTAAACTAGGCTTCTTTTAATTTCAATTTTTATTCTTCCTCTTGATTATAAAGCACTCTTTTATTTCATCGCAATTCCATGTTTGTGAGACCTTTTTTTCATATAGCAAGACATTCCGCGTTGTAGGATATTTCGCCATTCCACCGTTCCACTATTCCATCGAATAGGGTCACCCAATCGCATTCGAACCTTGCTCGCCTTGCAAATTTAGCGGCTCCTCTGAGTATCGGTCGCCGATTGAAATGGTAACATGCTATCTCTTCGAATGAATAAAATTTTCCTTCAAAGTTTCCACGATGTGCAAATCAAACCTATTGAGATATTTCTGCGAGAAAAAGTCCTTTTTTTCAATTACGTACCGGAGACACCACTGTGAAATTACTATGAGAACTGAAAAAATGATATCTTCGGATCCACCGGGAAAAATTTGTTGATTCAAACCGTAAAATGTTCCGCTCTTCACAGAAATCATTTTTCCTTTAAGCTTTCATGATGCGCCGATCGCACTTCTTAAGACATTTCTGTGCAAAGCAGAGCTTTGTTTTTTCACGTGCCACCTTGAAATGATGGTGAGATGTTTATCCTCTTCTGTAGTACTTCGAAACAGACAATAAGTAGCACCGGGAAACAGTGTGATCACGTGCTAATTCCGAGTAACGATGGGAGCAATCCGAAGAAAGCTTCACTGACCGTTGAACGAACGAATATGTTCTAAAACAAACAAAAGCCAAGAGTGAGGAATATCGGGTAAAACCCGGCAGATTTTGTTGTAGGCTTAGAGGTCGTTCGTATTCTATCGTTACGCTCACTCAACAGGACATTATGGCTACAGGGTGCGGCTACACTTAGTGTAGGTAAACCGATTTATCCTCGAGTTGTTTTGCCGTAGTCTTTCGTGTGACAATTCGCTGTCGATCTCAACCGCACAATCAGTGTCGTTGTCGTTATTGTGAACTTCTTTATTTGAATGCTATCTACTTCTAATCACGACCTGCTTCTAAAGCTCACTGATGACACATTTGATTCTGATATCGGAGCTACCATAGGTAAGAGTACAGTCTAAGACGTAAGACTTTATAATATTTATTTATGAACAACGTTGAGTGGTTTTGAAAACTCCAAGAGTCTTGGTTTCATATCGGGCTGTATTTTGGCCTGTTTTTTTTTTTTTTTGTAGCCGCCTCACAGGATACTATATCGCTGAGGTGTTGTTACAAAATAAATGAAACACTAAGACTAGCTGTGTACCTTTTAAAAATGCCTCAACTTTTTAACCTCTAAGAGCGATTGACATCTAGTATCTCCTCACAGTATCAATGGTGAATAAACCATTAAGGTTCTGAGAATAACAGAAATGATCACAAACTAAAGGAACTCTTGAGTGTTGAAAAATTCTCCTTGTCAGCACCTTAGGAAATGTTTAGAGAACAAAGTGAAGAATATTTCCGCATTTCCGCACAACACAGAAATAAGTCAAACAACAAACATATGTATGAAATACATATGAACTGCGGTTATGAAACGTATATGTGCACGATCCTTCGCAGTAAAGCACTATTTAAGCAATAGTGAAAATCAGACCTGAAAAAAATTCAGGCCTGTACGGGATTCGAACCACTGACCTCTGCGATACTAGTGCAGCGCTCTACCAATTGAGCTAACAAGCCAACTGGGAGCAGGCCATCAAATTAATTCGACATAAACCCGTAGATGATAAATCAAACAACAAACATATGAAATACATATATATGAACTGCGGTTATGAAACGTATATGTGCACGATCCTTCGCAGTAAAGCACTATTTAAGCAATAGTGAAAATCAGACCTGAAAAAAATTCAGGCCTGTACGGGATTCGAACCACTGACCTCTGCGATACTAGTGCAGCGCTCTACCAATTGAGCTAACAAGCCAACTGGGAGCAGGCCATCAAATTAATTCGACATAAACCCGTAGATGATAAATCAAACAACAAACATATGAAATACATATATATGAACTGCGGTTATGAAACGTATATGTGCACGATCCTTCGCAGTAAAGCACTATTTAAGCAATAGTGAAAATCAGACCTGAAAAAAATTCAGGCCTGTACGGGATTCGAACCACTGACCTCTGCCATACTAGTGCACTAGTATCGCAGAGGTCAGTGGTTCGAATCCCGTACAGGCCTGAATTTTTTTCAGGTCTGATTTTCACTATTGCTTAAATAGTGCTTTACTGCGAAGGATCGTGCACATATACGTTTCATAACCGCAGTTCATATATATGTATTTCATATGTTTGTTGTTTGATTTATCATCTACGGGTTTATGTCGAATTAATTTGATGGCCTGCTCCCAGTTGGCTTGTTAGCTCAATTGGTAGAGCGCTGCACTAGTATCGCAGAGGTCAGTGGTTCGAATCCCGTACAGGCCTGAATTTTTTTCAGGTCTGATTTTCACTATTGCTTAAATAGTGCTTTACTGCGAAGGATCGTGCACATATACAGAAATAAGTGTTAGGTTTTAGCTCTATTTTTGTATTTTTATAAACAAGTTAATGTTTAGCATTTTTATTTGACCCATGTAAATTAAAAATGCACAAAAACAAAAGATATTTTCACAACCGCTCTTGGGCCCACTATATTTTGGTCAAAAACTCGTTCATCCATACCCAAGTAGCTGGATATTGATCAGTTGCCATCGGAATAACAGAAGGGAATTTTCCCTCTCAAAGCTTTCGCTTTCGGGTGATGATGAGACCCAGTCACTCGGGTCCATGTAAATATGTGGTGGTTCTTGCGTTGTGGAAGCCTCCTCTCATGAAAGAAAAGTAAGAATAACAAATATTGTGTTGAACAACTCAGCCATCTAAAATATCGCTTTAATTTTGAGTTTCATCTGTACTGTAAGCACTCCAGAAGCTATTTTGATCAACATCTCTTTTTCAACTGCAGTTACGTTCCCATACCATGTTTTTCATTCCTTTTCAATGTTGAAAGCTAGTGTTACTGTTCTTGTCCCAGCAAGAAAGAGGTGTTTAAGTATTACCAAATTATTTTGAGCGACGCTAAAATATTTCAGTGACAAGGTTGAGAAACTCGGAGAAATGGAACTCTGAGTGCTTCCTGAAGGAGTCGAACCTTCCAACTTCCGACCAGTATTTCAAGCTGGTGTTAATGCCATTTCAACGTTGTTGATATATCCAAATTATTTCGTTACTCCCACCGAAGCAGCCCCAAACAGTACTTCAAGTGCTTTACCACTTAGCCGTAGGAGACTCGGGGTAGGCTGAGTCTTTGGACTGGGTCCATGGTCCATGGAATATCAAGTCCCTTGAGATTCTTACTTTTTTTTTTTTAATGCAGAATAGCGCGGTATTATAAAAAGATTAAACAATCAACCTAAATAAGTTACTTTCTTTACCCACACTTCTTACTTCGCTCCCTTTAGTGCTCTGCAGTGTGTCCGTTCGAATTAAAAAAATGCTCGGCATGCCCGGCTTAATTGGATTGTTTCGTTGTTATGATGTTTCTGTTAGACTGCTAACCATCAAACGCAAAGCAGTCGATCATCATGACGATATTTTGCTGAGTTGAAACGCTTCTCGTCTAGAGGAAACAATTGTAGGAGAGGACCATCATTAAAAACTGCTTCCACTTCTCTTTTAAGGTTATCAGCGCCGCTATCATTTGGCTGGTAACCTGGTAACCGGTCAAGTCGCCCGAGTCCTCTCGCCTGAAATCATGTCGCCCAAAACTAAAGTCAAGTCGCCTGATCTTGTTAGCACTCATAAAAACACAAGAATGGCATATTTTTTAAAAATTTCGGAAGGGTACCGATCGATCGAAAGATCTTTTTGGTATATTTACTTACGTTACCAATCTTTTAATTGTTAAATGTCACTGAACTTCAATTTTACACCTTTAAAATTCTGTTTAAATACGATACCCTAACGTTAAAGGTCCCCGAGAACTATTATTAAATTTTTTAAGTGAGACAGGTATGTCCAACATGAACAAAGTTTAAACTAGCGAGAACCATCCCTAATAAACCTAGTCTTAAACTGGATATATCAACAAAGTTGAAATGGTAAATTGGCCACCGTAACGATTACAAAAGCTGACGTTTCGAGCGTTAGCCCTTCGTCGGAGCGAATAGAGGAATTGTGGGTTGTGTGCTTTTAAAGGCAGAAAATGGAGCTACGTTATTGGTGGGAACATGGCAACGAGAAAAGCACGAATAAATTAGTGACCGATTCCGAGAACACCTTGGAGACGTGGGCAAAAATAATTCAGACAGAGATTGGGGAGAAGATTCAAGCAAAATGAAACTCAAGAACACTGCTGGCTTGACTTTAGTCAGCTCCTGTGATGGAATCCAGTACTGTTGGAAGTGTCTCAAAGAAACTCTGCAACAAAAAAAACAACCCTTTAATTGCTGAGGAAAAACACTGTGCGCAAAAGTCACGTACAACCTCTCTCTTAAGCGTAAGAAAGTGTTGCGTGAGTCATCACGTAACCTCATCATATGACTGCCCTACTAGGCAAAGACATTGTCACCTTGAATAGTTGTGTCTCTTGATGTACGATGGAAGAACAGCACATTTCTCGGATGGAGTGCATTGCTAGCTGGGGACCACCAAGGTCTAAAAAACGATCATGGAAATATGAGTTTTCAACACTCAAAATAAATCCAGCTTGTTATTTATTGATTATTTATATATGGGTCTATAGCCTAATCCATGATGGCACTGAATAAACCACCCGCTTACTTCGGTAAAAACTTCATGCTTCATACCAATTTTTGAAAACTCCCTTATTCCACTCTTTATAATTTTTCTCGGGTCGAGAAATTATTCCAATTATCCATAATTCTTTGAGAAATTATGCATGAATCTGTTAGGGAACTGTTTAGTAAACTTCTGACAATGATGCTTCGGTTGCCTGGTCAAAATTCATAACACCTGAACAGTCTTTGATAATGATTGAGGTAAGGATGCAATGCACAATATTGAGTTTGGGAGCAGATACCTATTGAAATGATTGAAAAACATCAACTTAAACAGTAACCAATTAGAAAAATAAAAATAAGGATTTTGCAGAGGTTTTAACATTTTCCCACTGTGGCTGCCATTGGTGCAATAGGCCACGTCCTCATTAGGCAAAATCCAATGGCCTGCTCGCATGCAGCACAGATTTTTTTTCTGAACGGCTGACAAATGGCTTGTAAAGGGAAAGCCGTTTGAACACGGAAAGCCGTTAGTGTACGTTTTTCTGTGAGTGGTCACAGATGGTGGTGAGAGGTCTTACATCTCACCATAGACCTCAGGTAAACAATTTTTATTGAAACCCTGGTCTTTAGTGGATAACAGGCATTTATACACCACTAGTTTTTACATACAATCAAATTCAATTACCCAAGGTTAATAATCCAAGCTTAGCAGACAGGATGGGTCCTATTGTAGTTCCACAAGGGGAATCATTCCGCACACACACTTCCTGAAATAAAAATTAGTTACAATGGAATAAAATCAAAATGTTACCAAAGTTAAAACTTATGGGTGGTGCTTGCAGAAGTTCAAGCAGAGGTAACTAATTGTGGGTATTGTTTGCTGTAACACATCCCTATTCTAAGTTTTACCTGCAATGACACCTCATTCTTCTCTGCAATCAGCCTTAAAATGCTAGAGGACAGTGCTGTTGTTGCATATCGTTGATTACTATTAATTTTTACTACTGGACCCTGAAAAAAAGTAAATGATTTGCATAGGACAATAAGGCCATGACATTAAATATGATTTAGCATAGCCCTGTCAGTGTGAGAGAAGAACGAAAGTTGAACATTTAATTTACATGTCAAAAATTAAATTGCTTCAAGGAAAAAGGGAAGTAAAAATACTTTCAATTAATTAGACAACACAACTTTTGATCCCAGCCAAAACCACACCACATGTTCCTAACTGATTACTCTGCAGAGAAGTTTTCTTTTACAATTGCAGCTAAACATAAGGGTTGTTGAGAGAATTTGAACAAGCTGTGCATACTCCTCCGTGTGGTGGAGGGTCTGCATAACTTTCTCAAATTCTCCCAATCGCTAAATGTTTAGATGAGGCTACGTAAACAGGGAAAAAGTTCTATAAAAGTTGGTTGTATAAAATATTTCTCAGAAAGTACAAAGAGTGTGATGTCACAAATATGTCTAACTCCTTTCATATGAACACCTATCAACTAACAAGAGTAGGTGTATAATATCTCAAATATTTTAATTTAGTTTGAGTTATTTTCGGTCAAGGCCTCACCTTGTGAAGAGCAGGTTTGTGGTTCTCCTCATGTTTTTCTCTACAACAGAAAATAAGAAAAACCACTTGTTGATGCCCAACACCTAAAATGCTGGCCTTCCACCTGATAAGAAGATTTAACTACAGTATTGAAAGTAATTTCTGATAAAATTAATACTTTTTGTCTTCCACAATGTCCAAAAGCATATTATGTAATATTAAAACAGCTTACATGGCTCTCATACACATTTTGTCATATTAATGCCAACTTACATGCTATCTGGAACCTCATGCACCAGTCAGACATAAAGCACTCTAAGAGACCTTTGACCTCTTTGATCCCTGCCAGTGACCACAAATGTGGCATCTAATTTCTCCACATGATATCACTCCTGAATCACACACCAAGGTCACAAGTCACGAAATTTAAAAGGAGATGATTGCCAATTAAAGAAACTCTTGATTGGTTAACAAATTTTTCTTGTCTTTTAGGAAATGTATAGAGAAGGGTGTAAACTAAGGCTTTTCAATTTAGGATACATACGCATAGTTTGGGTGGACTGCATGAGCTTGGTCTGCACTGAGAAGAAATGACTTGGGTATTGCTTCCTCAAAACTAGTTGCTGTCCCACCTAGGATTCAAGAAAAACATAATTATGATAGCTTTAAAAGCTCCAGTTCTTTATCACTTAGCCACATAGACTATAGTAAGTAGGCCTCTACAAGGTTCACATCTAAAATTGATGTGATAAAGTTTACAACAACTGACCTGCTGACAGCCGACGCAGAATGTGCTCCGTGAGCATTGACCCTGCTCCTTGTGCGCTCTCAGAACCAACCTATCATCAGAACATTTTTGGTAAATTAGTATATGCTGAATGTGCAGTGATGGACATAACTTAAAACTGGATTGATGAACTGGCATTAGATCACTTTTCTTTGATGTCATAAACATACACTTCCTTGTTTATGTACCTCTTCATTGTCATACAATGCTATGATTCGGATGTTGGGATCTGAAGCTAAAGATGAACTTTCCAGAGATTGAACAAGACCCTAGAAGTTAAAGGAGTACACATTTGGAAATAAGGACAACTCAAGTTTGAAATTAAGATGACTCTAAATGGTTTTTGATATGTTACACACCTAGTGTAGTTAAATCACCCAACCCACCAAAAAGCTAGTGGTTAATAAAAGCCAATTTGAGCCACCTTCATGAAAGTCATAAAAGTGGATCAATATGTTAGAATTGCACAGTTTCTTGGTTTTCTGAATGGAATATTCTCTACATGTAGCTCTTACTCAAAAACTCACTCTACCTGCAAGGCACAAAAACAGCTGACTTGGTTGTCCAATCTTGGTGAGAAGATAAACTCCTCCAGTGCACCACCCAATGTCTGAGAGAAAAAGAATAAAAAATATTAAAAGAACCCATTCAAACAAATCATAATTAAAATGCAAAATCAGGTGGTCTAGCTAAGATTGATCACAGACTCAGGAAAAATGAGGGAGAAGGGGGGAGGAGGGGGTTTTAGTTTAAAAATTTCTGTGTTCCTTGTTGCACAACTATTGCAATTGGCACCTCAACATTTGCACCTTTGTTATTCGCACCCACCAGTCACAATACATGTAATTATTGTTCACCAGAAAAACATTTTATTCTATTTCACTCGATTACAAGACCAAACCTTAAGCGAACCACATTCTCCGAGGAATGAAGAAAACTTAATACGAACAAAATACTAAACTATAACTAATATATACGAAAATAGTCGATCGCAAATAGCACAAAAGGATCACGTAGCGCAAAGAATTCTAATGAATGCCATGATCCTACTGATTAATGCGATTGTCTCCTGCTCAATTATCACATCAGCATCTGGACACAACCCCTACATAAATGTGTGGACAGGCTTTATTAAACATTCTACTTTGAACATGAAAAGTAACCGTCAACATTCTTAAGTGAAGCTGAGGCTCATACTGCAGCTTCACCTCACATGTATCAGCTGACAAGGAGATTTTATTTGACAATCAATTACCTTTTTTTGTCTGTGATCAATTCCTTTCTTCTTGTGACCTTAATTTGTGATATTGTAAGGAGAAATTCAATGCTAATTGCTCTCAGCTGTTTAGAGGCTTTTAACACTGTGCTCTTCTTAACTAACTCCACATGAGCGATGAAAGAACATACTCACAGCAGGCTGGGTATCGGCCAGGTGCAAGTCAAAGTCTATGATATGATCTTGTTCACATTTCAACTCCTCTGTTAGGAGTTTGACCAGAGTTGACTGATGAGAATTGCTCTAAAGAATTAAATCAATAAATTCACTGCTAAAAATAAAATGAATAAATATTTTAACCTTTTCACTTCCAAGATCTTATTGGTAATTCTCCTTACCATCTGCCATCATTTTGTGTAAAAATTACTCACCCTTGACTTTTTTTCCTTAGGTTCTTTAGCAATGTTGCCATTTTCACTGGCTGGCTTATTCAACAGACTTTCGTATACACAAGTTGATAAGATGGGTGTTCTGGAATAGGAGAAAGAAAACTCAAAGAAGTTTGTTCAAATAGAAATTAATTTACAGTTAAAGTATTGATCATGTACTTCATGACTTTGTGTGTACTAATTAAATCTGCTCATCAAGTAAACATATTTACAGTATTTCTAGAATTTGAACTTTTTTTAAATCAACCAGAAAAACTTAATGTGACAGCGTGATGCTGTGAGTTTCACAGGTGCTGACCGATACTTGGCTGTGCAGCAGCGCATTGCGGTTCCAGTCCAGACCCACAAATTGACCCTTGCTCACCATAGAGTCTCCAGTAGCTCAGTGGTTAGAGCATCCGACTAGATCACAGAGGGTCATGGGTTCAAGTCCCATCTGGGGCTCGGATTTTTCTATTAAACCAGAAAAACTGTTGGTTAAATCACTAAACAGTTGTAGAGTGGATCTGTTGTAAGGACAATTTCTTGGTTAAAATGGTTAATATCACAGTCTTTGGTTGCTTAAAACTATCACTTTTTCTGCTATTTGGATCTGTGCTCATCTGGTGTTGTGTTACAACAATGTTATCTGGATACTCCCATATTGCACTTGGGCTTCCTGTGGTGTGTAGTTACTCACATGTGAGTTTCTTTATTTGGTGAGAACTTGTCATTAATGTCACGCTGCAGATGGATTGCCAGATGTGGAACACGCATGATTGGTCTGTCAATGTGAACCAAATGGTGCTGCAATCTATCACCTTTCTGTTTGATCAATTTGAATCGGGAAGAATTAAGAAAATAATTAATATGTAATCAGGTGGAGTCAAATTTGGATCAAATGGCCTAAGTGTGATAAACATAATCTAACACCTGGAAGTTAATTGCAATTAACCATTAGTCTAAACTTGCCTGTGTGCCAAGCAATTAATATATACACGTAACTATATTCTTAGATTTTCAACCATTTCTCTTTTCAGCTGTCTTAAGATAGGATCTAACATTGGAAATAAATACCATTACCTTAATCATGACTCTGCCAGCCAATTTCAAATCCCTATCAAACCAAGTAGCCCATATTCCACCTCCATAGCACTCCACTCCAACCTGTTGATAACCGTTGTTGCTCTTTTTGGAGTTTGGCTTCACCTGTTCCGATATAAAGTATAGACTGAGATAAAAAGATTTTGCACCAGAGTCATTTTCTCTGCTGCCCAATCTCCTGTTCTTTCAACCAATCCACTATTGCATTTCTTTAAATACCTAACACCTGACGGGGGTTTTATCATGGCATAGAAAATATCACAGAAATCTCAGGCTAGTGTTCACAGAATCCTCCCCAAAATTGTGAAGACCTGAGTTTTACTTTATTCAGATGAGGAAATCATATTCCCTTACCATTCACTGTTCCCTATATTGTGCCTTCATTTCTCAATATGAAGAAACTGACTGTATTTTTAACAACTTAAAGTTCTGTTTTTGAAGATTCATTTTTAATAATAGGTTTAAAGTACCTGGTAGTTTCTTAAATGTCTGATTTTGACAATTTTTAAACCAAATTCCATCCTCCCTGCTTTTTGAACATTTTTCTGATACATGGAACAGGCCTTATGTCTATGCTTTAAATTCCTTTCACAATACATTGGAACCCGAACATGATTCTGTCACCAATTCTTACAGTGAACTTGCTTGTGTGCATGTGAATGAAAACTTATTATCATGTGATAGGATGAGCACTGAGACTTGCTTTGAAAAACATGTGAAAGGTAATTCAGAAATGGGCTATAATAGCTTTCACAGCTATGGTATTACCACAAATCTTTGTCATGTTAGCACTTGATTTACCCCTTAACTTAATTATCAAAACATTAAACATCAAATAAATAAATAAATGATTATAACAGTAACTATTTCTAATTAATACATTTTTACTTATTTTCTAGATACCTTGAGACAGGGACTATCAGTATGAGCTCCCACAATGCTGAAACCATTACCAGGAACATACTTCCCACCAACAGCAAATGCAATGATTGTTGACTGGTTCCTTGTCACAAAACACTACATGAAGCAAAGAAATAACATGAAAGATGGGTCAATATTGCAGGCAAGTTTTTGAACAAGGTAAGAATTTTGGTAATATAGTGTTCATAGCCAAGCTAGCTGCCACTGTTTTGGTCACCATGGTAAGAAAAACAAAAAACAATTGGCAATAAATTTGCAACATAGGTGATCATCTGTTTTGGTTTCCTGTACATTGTATTAAATTGTATAATTATATCAATTTACTTTAAGCAAACGATGTTTACTCATTTTCTTTTGCAAAATAATGGTGTATTGCAGCAGTTAAACTTCAATCTGTACCTTAGTTGTCCATGCAAGCATCAAGCCTTGTAAGGTTTGTGATCTTTCCAAGACAACTGGAGGCTATATTACTCATTTCAAAGACAACAGAAGTGACCAATTTAAGTGCACATGTGATTTCCCACACTAAAGAATTTTCATTTCTGGCAACCATTTTGTGATTTTGGGTCTTGTTCAAACAGCAACCTTTTAAAGTTAAGTATACAGCACTGACTCTCATTCCTGACCTTGTCAGAAGGCTTGATTTCCCAGTGATCTTTTTCCTTGAGCTCCTTAAATCCTGCTGCTGACAACACCTTTCTACACTCATTGACAACTAAAACAAAAGATTCCAGCTATTATCATGTCAAAATAACTTTGTTAATATTGAGCCAGGCTATCATGCAGTTGAGGAAAGAGAGTATTAGTATCTAAAGAAACTCTGGTACTGTGAATGAAGTATCTTCCTGTAGAGACATTAGCAGAGATTTACAACAATTATTCCAAGTGTTACATACGGCATCCTGTCTTGGGGAAACTATTCCACAACCCTACTTTCCCACTTGGATATACAGTCCATTCCAGAGCAGCGAAAATTATTTACAACCTTGATTCATCTTTATCTGATGCTGAATGTCTCTTGAATTCTAGCTGGCCTCCAATATCCTATTTTTACAAGAAATTTGTTCTTTTTATTCATACACAAGGTTTATTTTGACTCACTGTCCTTTTTGTTTGGGGACCCTTTTTCAAAGAATGCCTCTGGCAGACCTCTACATGCTGTTTAACAGAGGACTATACCCAGACCCAACTCTGAAGTGGGCAGGAACACCTTACGGTATAGAGGACCTGTTATTTGGAACTTTGTCAACAAAATTGCTTAAGTTCAAGAGAACCTAGCCAGTTTCAAAAACACTATTAGAAAATTACATGTCGAGCTGAAGGCGTTTTCATTATTTTAATAAAGAAGCTGTAGTTATTACAAAGAAATCCAAAGAGTTTGTTTTAACTTTTGATTAGCAGAATATTATAATTTCATTTAAGATAATATTTAATTCATTTAATTTAATTTATTATCACATTTGTAAATTTTTATTATCAATGCTTGTATTATTTTTGTAATTATTTGTAATAGTAGGTCCACATCAGCCTCTGGCTGCCTTTTTGCAACCTACTTATCAATTAAAGTATGTATGTATGTATATATGCAGCGTTGGTGGGGGTAACAAGGTAAATTTGGTAATATCAACTAAGTTGATATTAACTAAATTTCCAATTGCTCTGATGAAGGGCTATCACTCGAAACATCAGCTTTTTAACTCTTTATGGTGGCTAATTTACAATTTCAACTTAGTTGATATTACCAAATTATCAGTTAATTTTGACAGGCAACTGCAGTATCCTGCTATTCTTTATCAAGCAGTGAGATTGTTTGCTTATGAGTTTAAAACGATGAAGAAAAAGGAAACGATTTCAAGAAATTGTAGGCACTAAAGCTAGAATGATAAAACATACCATGATATGGTGATGGACCATTGTTCACAAAATCAATGAACTTCTTTGCTGCAGATTTTATTACATCAAGAGAGGATGCCTACCATAAAACAAAAAGCAGAAAAATATTTTGGTAAGACCTTCACTTCTTCTGACATTTTGAAGATACAGGATGAAACTTTCATCCAGGAAAGAGTTACAGGTCATGAGCGGTATCTACATGTACAACCATACTATACATTAAGAAGAATTGCAGAATGTTAGTATCAGGGTCCATTTCTCGAAAGTCCCAGAAGGGCCAGAAGCCTCTTCTTAAAATCCAATTTTTAAGAATAGACGGGCAGGTTCTGGCACCCCAACCAGTCCATTTTGTTACTTTAGCTGATAAATTTATCGTTGAATTTTCAAAATGTTGAAAGGCCATCTTGAAAGAAACAGAACAGCTTAACAGGCCCATAAAGCTACTGGAACCTTGGAGAAACAGGCCCCAGAATTAATTGAAACTGTGTCTTAACCCTTTGACTGCTAACCTGTGTGATTAGCATCTACTTTTTTCTTACAGTATCAGCCCTGAATCACATAATGAGGGCATGAATACAAGGGAAAATTGACTGCAAACTTAAGAAGCTCTGATTGTTTGACAAATTCTCCTTGTCAAAACTATCGGAAATGTATAAGGGATGGTATAGAGAATATGCATATATTGATGTCAAGGTGTGAGGAGTTAACTTCTGTCCTCAATATCCAAACAGACAAAATCTTATTCAATTTCAAGAATTAATTGAAAACAAAAATGAATAAATATATAAACGAAACTTCTCTCATTATATAATTCTGAAAACAGACCAAAGATATTGATGCACTAAGTTACCTATCTTAATATCCCACAACAAAGATAAAATAAATGTGTTCCCGCTTATCATATATTTCGCTTATGGAGCTTATTATTATATATAACACAATCAATAAATTCTAGTTTCTCTTTCTTGTAGGTGAAGCCCTAATTACAACTTCATCATTGTTGATCCAACATTCAAAAACACATCTCCAGGTAACAAGATTGCAATCTGCAAATGTCTCACGCCAGAGATACTCTGAAAAATTCTGGAATTCATTGCTTGCGATTATGTCTTTTGTAGATATCGCAAGGAAAGTGATGTAAACGTAACCGAAATGAAACCACGCCGGAAGTTAAGACGAAAGTAATTAATGATGCATCGCTACTCTGCGTTCTCTATAAAATGAATTTTGAGACAGAGTTATGCACATATTACTAACAGAAAGGTCGAGCGGTAAATTAATTACAGAGAATTTTGTGTCTGTTTCTGATTTGTGCGGGATTGGTGTATAATTCATGGCTGAATACCGCAGGATTTCTAAAATCCTCACCTGAACAGCCATCTTGGATTTTCAGCTAAGTTGTGTGCACCCCCCTTGGGAGTGGGGTAGGGAAGGCTATAGCAAACCGAAAGTCGGAAATGGAAAATAAAACTGAAAGCGTAAGTGATTTGAGGTCCAAAAATAAACAGCGTGGGAAAAAAATAAAATAAAATAAAACTGATACATTAGACAAAATTTAAAAAAGGCCAAACTTTAAAAATTTCAAGAGGTGAGTAAAATTATTGATCATTCTGAACAGCAATCCAGCCACGGAAATAAACGTCAAAATTTTAAAATCAACCCATGTAAAACAAGGAAGTACAACAAAAAGGAAATGTGAAGCGATTCAGTTTTATTTGAAGACCTCTCATATTTTTATATTTTATGACAGATATATATTTTTTTATAATTCTACACTTGATTGCATAATACTCCATATATCTATACATACTTTATAATTTCTTATTTTCATATTCTAGGATGGTAACTGAATGCGTAACACGAATGAGAAGGAACAAATGAAAAAAACCAACGTTATTTAGCCTGATATTACAGTTGCCCTTAAGCTGGTTGCCTTTTCTTGCTGTTAATTGCTCTGTGTGAATTCTACCTATTCATTATTTTCTTTCTTTTCAGCTGATAATATATCCTTTAACCCTTTATCTCCCATGAGTGACCAAGACAGAATTTCTCCTTACAATATCAATACAATATCAAGCAGACAAGTGATGAGAATAAAGAAAAATGCCAACTAATGGATTATTAGTTGATCCAATACCAGATTCTCTGAACTAACATCATTAGAATTGTATGCAAATCAGTAAGGAGAAATGGGAGTAAAGGGGTAAAGCCTCTGTCTGCATACAATGAAAATTGTAATAAAGATAACTCATGAGCTGAAATGCTGAGTGAATGATGACAAGATTTTTTCTTTTACTATCACTTTTTCATGATCAAGCTAATACCATACGTAAGATCTTCCGTCAAAAGATGATCAAAATAAAAGCACTATAACTCTGCACCGTTAAATCGAAGTCTGGTTGTTTCGATACATCGACAAGTCTGTCGTTTCGATACAACTTTAGTCATTTCGACACAAACTAAAGCGAAAGATAAATTTGAATGTTTTGAAATGTCTACCTGTCTGATAAAGGGAGACATTATTTATCCACAATTTAGACGTGGTTTTCCCGTTGCAGTTCTCTTAAGGTAGTTTCCTTTGGCACTGATTTTTTAAAGAAGTTGTCTTTTTCTCCGGAACTGAGACGGTTTTTCCGTTTGTCAAAACGCTCAGTGAAGTTGTTCTCATCTTTCAAGACGTCAAAAAGGGTTCTCCTCGTTGGGCCTAAAACAGACAAAAATTGAATTTTTAATTCGTGATACAAAATATTTTTGACAACAGAAACAACTAAACAACGGTAGGGATACGGAGTCGTAGCGCATTGGACATCGAGGCCTGGGCTGGAGCCCAGCTGGAAGCTCGAAGACTGAACAAGACACTTTACTCGCACCATGCCTCTCTCTACCCAGGAGTATAAATGGGTAGCGGTGAACTGAGCTGTCAAGGAGGCCTGACGAAATGAATTTTGGGGGAAGGGGTAGGGGATAATTTGAAATCTGTGGCAACCGTCATATGAAACGTGATAAGCTCAGGCAGTAAACAAGGAACGACTTGACTATAAAACACCCAGAAAAAGGGAATGTCTGAAGAGCAAATAGTGGGTTTACAGTATGTACATCAGAACTGCGGTCAATTTTAGCCAAAAATTTACAAGTAGGGTACGCAATACACAGTTTTATTAAGAAATTTTCCTAAGGCACCGAGATCAAAGGATACGCACGGACGAAACTGGCAACGAGGAAAAGGCAAATGACGTCATAACACAGAGGGGTCCTCAAGAAGCTGTTAGGGAGAAAGATATACCCTGAGGAGATACTGTTTGGCAGCACGTTCGTTGAGACTAAATGATCAAATTTCTGCTCGTGGGACGACATCAGTGACACCCACTGGACACAAGTGTGACAATGGGCGCATTATCGTATAGATAAGACCTATCAGCAGTGATGCCAAGTTGTTCTGTATAACAGCTTGTGATTTAAACCTCGACAGACATGATGCACCGAAACGAAGTTCATTTTACTTCTCTTTTCAGTCTATAACATGTGGTCTGCAGGTTTTTTTTTTTCACTTGTTATAGGACTCAGCTGGATTAGTTTAGACTGAAATTTGAGCATTATCAAAGTTTTGGACAGTTCGTGTTTGATGTCAGTTGCAGAAGTCTTGTCATTACTTATAGTTTATAGAACTTAACGAATTCTACATACCTGTAGCGGAATTAGCAGCGGGAATTCTGGGGGCTATGGCATAAGAAAAAATGTATATCACTATTATTTGAAAAAGTGACATTTTCCTAAATAAACAAAACGCTAAACGTTCCACAGCGCAAGTGAAAGAAAAGGCGCCTACTAAGACGATTGTTCACTGTTCACATTTGGCGCTCGACTTCAAAATTACTTCACTGAACACGGCAAAGAACAACAGTTCCTTTGTTAAATTTCTCAAACGTGTATGGTCAGAAGAATATCACCTCTGAGAATCAGGCTTAGGCAGGAATATCAACGACTCACCAGGCGCGGAATTTTTTTTAATTCGCTTGTACAGCATGGACAGATACGTCATCACGCTCAACTCGTCGATCTCTTCCATTGATACCAGGTCACTCGCTTCCAAAAGAGCTGGAACTTTGAGTTTTTCCTCGGCCACTTTGAAAGCCTGAAATATAAAACTTATTTTTCACAATTCGACGAAAACGCAAGGCCATATGCTCTTTGATTAAAGTAAGTTCTTTCATTTCATCGTCCTGGCTTTCTCTGTTTTTCTCAAATTATGATATACTTTCTACCGTGCTCTTGGAGAGACTTGAAAATAAACATAGAGATCAGTTACATATATCACAAACTATAACTATCCCTCTCTTTAGAGGATTCTCATTTTGACCCAAATCAAAACTTACCAATTCATTGTTTTTCAAGGCGTCTTCCTTAGAGAGTTCGTCAAATTTGCTGCAAAATGAAAGAAAATCACTAGAATCAACTCTGTGGAAGCAACCCGCAAACCATAACTCGTCCAACTGACTTCTTAGAAACCCTCGTCATGTTAACGCTAAACAATGCATATGTCTTTAATCGAAGTATTGTTTATTTTTTCACTGATACAAGCCATTCAGCTCCAACCTCATATAAAACATTTATTGACATCAAGTATCCATCGATTGTTTGATTCCAATATGCTATTTAGTTCGAAGTCGAAAGTACGCCCATAGCCCTAAGTCTAAGTGTTAATTTCAATTCACTTGTGCATTTAAAAGCTGAAAGTCAAGGTCAAAGACATAAAGAAAGAAGGTGATTTAGGTTATTATAAAGGGCTACGATCAATCTCAAACCAGGAGTATTAGTTTAATTTTTTATATGATAAAGCTTCTCTAGCCTTAACATTCTTGTTGCGATGGCTGCAATTAATGACGCTCTATTTGTTCGACGTTTATCAATATTGTAAATGTTTCCACTAAACTTTAACATAGAAGACACACGCTGGAAGATAACTCGTACGTTGAGACGGTAGTAAAACTTGTCCCATTTTAAGATTTAGTGGATGTCTGTAAGATGAACACGTTGCACATTTGCGGTTCGTGGTTGTCAGTCGTCTTTAAAATCTATACTTATATAATCCAATAATCTAGAGACACTTTAGCCACTTTTGCAATAATACGTGCCTCTTTGTAAAATCTCTCGCCTCGCTTGGTGACCACCGACAGTCAATTTACATATATAAGTTTTGGTTCACTTCAGGGGATTATGAAGATTAGAAAGTTTTCCGTACTGTTACAACATGTCGCGTTGGCATTGCATATGGCACACATATGATGTAAAAATGCTTAAGAAAGCAGAAGTCCTTGATACAAAATACTGAAGTGTCCAAGAATCTCCTCTGTCTTCCTGTTAAATATCACCTCGTCATTGTCTTAATTTTTCTCACAAAATATCAAAAGTTAATTATATTTTCAAATACTGTCAAAAGTGGCGTAGTAAAAAGTGCATAAACCAAAACTTTCCCGTGATATGGTAAATTAACTCCAACTTCCCTCTCCTCGAGTGAAAATCTTCGTTCTCAATTGCGTAAAGAAAAGACTGATATTTGTTAGACCTTTTCAAAGAGTCCCAGCTATAAACAACCTCCTGTAACTCACCAACAAAAAGGAACAGAAGGGGAGAGAGAGAGAGAGTGGCTGCAATTTTGAATACTCACATCAGTTCAGGATCGTATTTGTGTAGGAGCGCGCAAAAAGCCAAGCCATCCCTCCACGAAGAAGTTAAATTAATCACTCTGACGCCTTTGTAACTGTAGGTTTGTTGTTTACACCATTCCAACAGAGCTTCTTTTCCTTTTAAATTTCGTGATCTTGCAGCCTGCCTTGTGGACATCGCGCGATCAATAAATGTAATTTTCAAAACAATACTTTGCGCAAAAGTTTAGTGTTTCTAAGGTCTGTCGTAACGTCAAGATGCTGACTGAAGAAATTTTGCCTACTTCACTTGGTTTCGTTATGGTAATATGACGGAAGTTTGTCATAAGCAGGCTTTTTCAGATCTCTAAAGTGAGGTCAGCGTTGATGCGGTTTCATTATCGCTTTCCTGTGGGTGTCAATTATCAACGGCACGCGTGTGCGTTGCCAATAAAACAGCTATATTCGCGGTCTATTTTATAATTACTATAAGGTGGTCTGGAGAACTCATTTATCTCAATCAATCTTTGGTTAGTTGGCGATACAGAACAACAACTTTGAAGTGCCCGATATCAGTTGTTTTGAGGGTCATAGAATATCAAGTAATTACAAGAATGCATCTAAATTAAAGCTGTAAATACAATTGCTAATGCGATACTAACAGCCCTACTAACATGCTGACAGATAAAACATGTTGACAGCATATAACACTAGTTTAAAAACTCTTACGCATAACAGGCATAGCCTTGAACGGAGTAGAAAGAAGGAAACAACAACATCCATTAAATTTTGTGATATCAAACAGCAGACTTTTGAAAGGATAAAAAAAAGATGATTGCAATAACTGATAACTTGAATCTCGATGAAAAGGCCAACCAGGAATATTAGTGGCACGTACGGGAATGTATGGAAAGTCTCCGTGAAACCTACAAATTTCCACATTGCCTAGAGTGTTTTCACTCAGTGAGCTTTTTACGTCGGAGAAAATCCGATACAACTCCCAAGGTTCGAGTTTGGAAATTTATGTAAAATTGTTAAAATGAAACTGACGTATAGTAACTTTCGTTGCAGTACGAAGATTTTTTTTTTACTTCTTCATCGACTCAAACTTGTCCTGAGAATTATTGGCATCCTGCCTGCAAAAATTGAAATCGAACTAAGTGTACTGTAAACCGCTCAAATATTCCTGAACTTTTCGATAATGCGAAAACAAACTGTGTATGCAGGTTTGACCTGCGAAACACGAGTTACCAATATTGATTAGATTAAGATAGCAAAGATTCATCGAATGATTTCATGTACTAACCGTTATAGCAAAAAAATGTTACTTTTTTTTCTACATTGGACGCAAACACGAGTGTTCCATAGAATGCATTATATGGAGTGCAAAATCAGGAAAATCCATCGGAAACTGTTTGTGCTTATTTCCAGTTTCGTTACCAGCTCAAAAGCCCACAACTGACGAAGTTATTTTACGTGACTTCTGACGCCCCGGAAATCCGAAAACTCTTTCGTACAAGTAGTAGCGCAGATCTGGAATGAATTATTTGTAAGGCTACAAAGTGAGGGTTTGGCAACAGAACAGCTTCAGTGTTTCATTTCATCCAGATGCTGTTGATATTCATAAAAATGTTTTTTTTTTGTAAACAGCCTTCATTAGCAATGTTAGAATATAACTGGCGAGAATAGTTACACACTCAAATGATTCTGTGTTGTACAGCATTAGGCCGAGAGGATTGTAAAAGAAAGAGAAAAAGAGAGCTGAAAGTGTTGATCCTACCGACTTTTTTTGAAAAACGATTGGAGATGACAACGAAGGAGATAATTTTACGTTAATCTTACGCCCCGGAAATCAGGAAAATCTTGCGAAGTCGAACACTAATCTGGAATCGATTATTTCTAAGATTAGGTCCGAGCAAGTCTGAGTTCGTGATGGCACGATCGGCAATTAACAACTCATCGCCAACTCTACCGTCAAGTTAACTTGATGCCCGTAGCCAAGTTCACGAGAAGTAAAAGGGTCACTCTATGGTTTAGCTTCAGAGGAGGAGCAAGGGAAATTAGAAACTATTCCTATTCCTCATTTTCCTTTCCAACAATCTTCACTATTTTTGCCCCTTTTTTCGCTCCCGCGCGCTCTCGAAACCGCAAGAATCTCTTTCATAATAATGTAAGAGTTGAGATAAACCCAAATTTTAAAACAAGGTAATTTTGGTTTTATCACCTGAGTTGATAATGCTGAACTGACCACCGTAAAGAGTTTGAGAGCTGACGTTACGAGCTTTAGCCCTTCGTCAGAGCCTATAAAACCTATTTACCTTAGGCTAAAAGTCATTTGAGAACGTTGGGATATTTACTTTGTTTTTCCTCAGTTGAACTTGGTCTGTGCTTAAAGCATCTACCAACTTCTAAGTTTCCCAGTCTCTTCTTCATATGCACTTTAATGACATCTTAAGACAGATTTTCCAAAACAGAAAACACATACTGAGATACATACATAAATATAGAAATAGATAAATGTCTTAACAAGACAAAGAACGTCCAGTCTCAGTTTTGCGATTAGCCTCTTTAATGATAATGATTGTTATTTGAGAATTCGCCATAAATATAACGCGGTCAATAGTCTTTATCAATAATTCAAAAAACAGATTATTGCGAGTCCGACGCTCCCACTAGTCCATCACGGTTATACGGTTTCCTTAGATAACTACGCGCGCGCAGACTTCTGGGGGCCTAGGACAATCAGGGATTCCCCAACAAAAATTTGGCGCGCAAGTTAGGAGAACAACATAATGAGATGTTACATCTAAATCTATTTAACGCATTCACACTTGTTACATGCATTGTACAACAATGAAGGCAAAGAACGTGACAGTTAATGCCAACAATTATAGACATCTTATCAACAGTAAATCCTACACCAGCCTGCAGAACAGGCGGAATTCTTGGTTTTTTTTTTTAGGCGGCCGAAGGAAAGTGCGAGGCGAGCGCGAGTCATGCGTGAGGAAGCGCAAGTCACACTTCGCGCTCACCTTGCACTTGTCTATGTTCGCCTGAAAAACGTGCTTTGCACGCTATCAGACTTCCTCAAGGTAAAGTTAAAGACAATAAGAAGAAAAAATGTTTAAAAGAGTAATGAAGCATTTGTCTAGAACAATCTTCATTTATCAAGTATCTAGATCATTCTATAGACTGTCCTCTAACTTGGCATAACCATATTATTACATAAGTGGTGAAATAAGTAAAAATCTGAATATGTCCACAAGATGTATTTAATATCCCCTTAGATATGCTTGTGCACTCTGAGGAAATAACTGCAATGCTCTACTTTATATGAGTAAAATTACATAAGAAACCAGTTAGCATAACCACTAATGATACAAATGTTTATTGTGTGGGTGACAACGGGGATCATGCAGCTTATCAACTAAATAGGGGCATTACCTGAATTATATGATTGGTGTCTTGCCAATAGGCTAACACCTCATCCAAAAGAGTGAAGCTATGCTGATATCTAAGAAAAGTATCATAGGCCCTATTTTACCTGTTACTATGGGAGACTTTTATGTTAATTGGGTTAAGAGATCGCGTTTATTAGGAGTAACTGTCGATGAAAGTTTAACATGGTCACCACATTTGATGAATTTTAAAAGAGTTTCGCAAATAAGCTTAACTTATTAAGAAAATCAAGATTCTTACCCAAAAGTGTATTTGAGCAATTGTATTTCAGTGTTATTCTTCCTGGCGTCACTTATAGTTTTGTAACGTGGGCAAGCTGTTGTAATCTTGAGTTATTTGGGGCGATTAAAAACTTCACAGCCCAGCGGCAAAGTTAATATATAATTTAAAGCAAGACACCTCCCATGACGACTCTCTGAAGATAGCTAAATGGCACTCCTTAGATTATATTTATAAGACCAACCTGTTTAAGGTAGTACACGGAGCATACAATAATTTGCTACCAGAACAACTGTCCGATAGCATTATTGTTAAGAGGTCGAGTGGTGCGAAGTATTCATTAAGGGGGTCAGTTAATATTGTTATACCAAGATTTCAATCTCGCTATTTAGAACTTTCAGTAACTTATAAGAGGGGCTGTTCTTTGGAATACAATTACGTCTAAGAATGCAGACATTGTTCATGCTACACGAAAGAGCATAGATTCAAGATTAAGTAAGATCGTTGAAATAAAGATTTTCATTTTAAGGTAACATCTGCTTCAACAGTTAATTTTTGTGATCAAGACTATTTTTATTTTTAATGATATCTTATGCACAGGCGGCCGAAGGAAAGTGCGAGGCGAGCGCGAGTCATGCGCGAGGAAGCGCAAGTCACACTTCGCGCTCACCTTGCACTTGTCTATGTTTGCCTGGAGAACGAAAACCAAATTACACCTGTTCTGGAGGCTATCACAGACTTCCTCAAGGAAAAGTTAAAGACAATAACAAGAAAAAATATTTAAGAGTACTGAGGTATTTGTCTGGAGCAATCTCCATTTATCAAGTATCAAGGTGATTCCATAGACTGTCCTCTAACTTGGCATACTGTAACCATATTAATACATAAGTGGTGAAATAAGTAAAAATCTGAATATGTCAACAAGATGTATTTAATATCTTCTTAGATATCTATGTCTTAGATATGCTTGTGCACTCTGGGGAAATAACTGCGATGGTCTACTTTCTAAAAGAGTAAAATTACAAAACAAACCGGTTAGCATAATCAATAACATTCCTGTTGTGGAACCAATAACTCCTCATTATACTGCTTTTGAGACTTTTGAAAGTTCCTGACATTGTCAAACTCAATACATCTTTACATCTTTATGACTATTTTAATGCTGACAAACATTCAAACTTAAATCTCCCGTTAGTGACCGAGCTACATGATTATGACACTCAAAGTGTATCTTTGGAAAGAGGGACCACTATACCATTATAAAACTCAAGCACGTAAAAATATTTGGCCTTTTCGAGCGTCACGAACAATATTCAAATTTTGTTCACGTTCACGCGAAATTTGAGACGATCACGTTTCACATAAAAATGAAGTCATATTCACGAATACATATTTTTACTTTCTTCTGGTCTTTACCAGTCTTAAGTGACTAAAGATGGCGAAATGACACATTTCATTTTTTCAAGGACTATTAGTGGTCTGTTTTCAGACTTAACGATCCTTATGAAGTCCTTTCGAGAATAATACGTACACTTTCAAAACAATTAAATGGCCGGGAATTCATCACGCAAACGAAAATTGTTCGCGAATCATTGTTTATTTAGGTCTTCATTCACGAGTCACGTTTAAATTAAAAAAATTAGTTCTCGTTGACATGAATAGATCTTATTTTTTATCACGATTCACCGATAAAGACAAAATCAAATCACGATTCAAAAGAAAAAATCGCGTTATCAGGTATAGTGTACCCTCTAGAAGGGTCGCACATCAACTGACCTTACATGGTGCTTAAATTTACATCACTTGAACCCTAGTCCCATCAGAATAAATACAAAACTGTTGGACAGAAGATTCTGTCCAACAGTTATGGGATACTAATATTAGAATAATATTCCTATATTTAAGCGGGAGAAGCCCAATAGAAAACTTTTCAAAGGAACATTTTTCTTGGTTTACTTTTCTCCGTGCTAATTAATGTCTTCCTTTGACCATGCGCTATTTACATATATTTGTCGTTTTAAGGTGTGATTCTTATTCCTTCTCTTCTATTTGTATCGCTTGTGTTTTACTATATCCAAAAATGTAGTCTTACGTGACGAGCATCTAACTAGATCGCTCTCTTATACCCTTCTCCCTTTTCTTTGTCTTTTTTTTTAAATTATTCAACAGGTTGTAGTTGTTGAAAAGGAGGAAATAAAAAATACTACTAATAAAATACTAACTTCAAGCATTGAACTGCCTGATCACGTGATCAATAGGGGCCCTGCAAATCGGGCAAGGGTCCCCCCTTTGCTTGAGTACTTGTGCACAGGCCCAGCAACAACAGCAGTGTCCTGTGTCACCGTGGATCACGGTGGCATTTTTGGGTTGATCCATGCAAATGATGCACTTGGAATTGTCATCTGTATCTTCTGGAAAAGCAAGAGTGTTGCCTTTTTCTGTTACAAATGGCATCTGTGAAGCAGACTCACTGGATGGTGTTGGTGTTAAACGATCTCTAGTAACCCAAGGGTTCTCTTGTGGTTGTCGCCCTTCAAAACGGTGATGAGTTACTGATCATGAAAAAATGTACAAAATATCATGTGTATTATTAAGTTATGGAATAAACGAAGGTTTAGTGGTGAGTCTAGAGGTTCACATTGAAGCCCTGGGAAGATAATTGTGTTGTTCTTGGGCAAGACAATCTACTCTCATAATGTCTACTTCAAACCAAGAGTACAAATGGGTCCTGGCAAAATATCAGGGGGGGGTCTAATAAAATGTGTATTATCCTATCTAGGAAGAGGGGAGGGGAGGGGAGGGAAGGGTAGCTCTGCCTGCAAGTGTATGAGCCACTAGGTGTGAGAGCAAACTTCCCCATTTTACCTTCAACGCATTTGAAAAGCATTGCTCATAGTGATAGCTAACCTTTCTTGAATAGTTTTAGGGGAATAGCACCTACTGAGGTATCTATATCAAAATAAGTTCTATTGAATGGCAAGAAAAACAATTAATCAATGATAAATTAAGGAAATTAAAAGAAATTGTGTGGGTATACATGTGCTCTTGCCTAAAGGAGAGTCGTCAAGTACACAGTATGATTTGCACTTTCAATTGGTAAAAATATGATATCAACTCAGGAGTACAGGTATTGGGTTATAAATGCAAGTTACCTGTACGCAAACCTGTTCTTGACATATCAAATCCCCTGTTTCTGCCTAAGTGTCCTGGTGATGGTCCAGTTTCATCAGCAGCTATTTAAACACACAAAAAATATATTTTCAGAAGACATTTGTAGGCACAAAAAAAATTGGAGTTGAAGTTCCCAGTGGTAAATTCTGATCCTTTTGACACATGACTCTCAAAGAGCCTTCCTTGAGCTAGGAATGTAATAAGTACTAGCAAATGTCAAGGAGGCCTACTGTAATAAAATGTTAAGCTATTAAACCCTTTAATCCCCAGGAGAAACCAGCACTTAAGTTCTGTTTTTAAAAGTGCTACACCCAATCAAACACGAAGGCCATGAGAAGAAAGGAAATGATTACTAACTCAAGAAGGTCATGATCTTAAATATATTTCTCCTTATCAGTATCCAAGGAAATGTCTACTAGAGAATGGACAACAGTATGGAGAATATGCATACTGATGTTAGATTGTGAGGGGTTAACCCGCAATGAACTACAGCTGTAGCATGCCATCGCAGGGAGAGACCCATTTGACTTAAGTGTGGAATCTACCCCTCACCAGCCAAAGGGGACCTGGGCCTGGAAGTAGCATTAATCTTTTAAGCTTGTATCAGTTATGAATCCTTACCTTCAATTGCTGTACTCATACACGCATGACAGAGATCAAATTCGCATGTTTGGCAATGCCATGGCTTGTTATCTGTGGGGTTATTGTGCACAGATCCACAACGATCACATCGCCAGCCACCATTGAACTGAGCATACACACAATGTGAGTCTGCCCTATACAGCGGGTGTTCATGTAGAGGAGTAGTATGCGGCCTAAAACAGTTCTGACACACATCAAATTCACATTCTCCACAATGGTGAGAGAAGCTGAAAGAAGATAGGGAACTCATTTAGGGACTACTTGAGGGGAAGAATGCAGTACACTGTGATTAATGGAGTCAAATCTGACATGTTACCAGTAACAAACGGTATACCACAGGGATCTGTTTTGGGCCCTATTTTGTTCACTTTATTCACTAATCAATCAGCCCACTGCGATTACCATGGGATCCCTGTTCATGTACACGGACGATACGTCAATTTTCAGCATCGGAGAGTCTACAGATGCAGCGATTGCTTCCTTGAACTGTGCTCTGCAAGAGGTCTACAGGTGGTGCCTAGAGAATTGCTTAACACCTCACCCGGCTAAGAGCGAAGTCGTGTTAATTAGTATATCAACCATTATAGGACCGCTACCTCCAATATTTTTGGGTAAATCTGTTTTAGGCTATGTCAAAAAATCGCGTCTTCTTGGAGTGATTGTAGATGACAAGCTTACCTGGATACCGCATATGCTAGAACTATAAAGAAAAACTTTGCGAACAAAATAGACTTATTGAAGTGCTCAAGGTTCTTGCCCAAAAATATCCTTTTAAAGTTTTATTTTAGTATGATATTACCTTCTGTGAAGTATGGTATTGTATTATGGGGTTCGTGTACAAATTCCGATCTTCTGTACTCAATTGAGGAACTTCACTGTAGAGCAGCAAAAATTGTCTACAACTTATCCAAAGATATGGAATCTAAGTGTAGCTCTCAACGTTTCAGGATGGGATACGATCAATTCAGAATACATATTTCAAGTAGTTAACCTTTTTTATAGAGCAAGTAAAGTCTCACCACCTCAGTCTCTAATTAATAGCATATAGGCAGGAATGTAGCTATTCACTAAGAGACCAAGAAGCAATAACCATACCTAGATTCAACACTAGATTGTTAAAGGACTCTTTAGCATATAGAGGTTCGGTGCTATGGAACTATGTGCGAACAAAATAGACTTATTGAAGCGCTCAAGGTTCTTGCCCAAAAATGTCCTTTTAAAGTTTTATTTTAGTGTAATATTACCTTCTGTGAAGTATGGTATTATATTATGGGGTTCGTGTACAAATTCGGATCTTCTGTACTCAATTGAGAAACTTCACTGTAGAGCAGCAAAAATTGTCTACAACTTATCCAAAGATACGGAATCTAATGTAGCTCTCAATGTTTCAGGATAGGATATGATAAATTTAGAATACATATTTCAAAAAGTTAACCTTTTTTATAGAGCAAGTAAAGTCTCACAACCTCAGTCTCTGATTAATAGCATATTCATAAGGCAGGAATGTAGCTATTTACTAAGAGACCAAGAAGCAATAAACATATTACCTAGATTCAACACTAGATTGTTAAAGGACTCTTTAGCATATAGAGGTTAGGTACTATGGAACTAAGTTAACCATCATGTCAAAAATGTAGGTAGCTTCGCCCTTAAGAATCTTAGGAGGCTACTCAGGAGAAATAATCACTTCACAAGCTTCACATTTACTAGTTTATCAGGTTTGACGGCTAGGAATAGATAACTGATAACAAGTATTTTTAAGTTGAGAGGAAAATTGAATGTTTTACTGTATTATAGTTTCTTACTTAGTTTGAAATGTGTCTTAGTACAATGAATAGTTGGCTAGATACTATTTTGTTAAGTAAACGACCCCACAAGCTTTTTAGCTTTAATTCTTATCGCGTATAAATAAAGATTCTATTCTATTCTATTCTCATTACTCAAAAGATCAATGCGACACCCTTCCTCCTTTTCATTCTGAGGTAGAAACACTAGATATGGGATATCAAAATAATCTGAATGTTTCACTTACTTTTCATATGGCCTGCTCATATTCCCACAGATGTCACAAACCCAGTTCCCACCAGACTGAAGATAGATTAGTGATGTGTCAACCACTTTAAGTTCATGAACATGGATAGGGTGCCTCTTGGGCTCGTTACAGCTACGACAAACATCAAAGTCACCGCAGGTTGGGCAGTGGTATGAGAATGTTTCTCTCAATTCATCACTTGTCTTTTTGCACACATCGCACCGCCAAATTCCTCTATCATTTTGATAAACCGGCAGTCGGCTGGTTTCCATGTAATACAGCTGATGCCGATGGATTAAGTTGTTTCCCAGATGTTGCATGTACATACAAGAATGGCACAGGTCAAAAGAACACAGTCTACAATGGAAGGGAAATGGACCCATTGTATCACTTTCAGAATTGCAGTGGTCACACTTCCACCGTCCTCCATATGCTTGGTACACTTCCAAAGGATCAACTTGCTCCAAGGGATGTTCGTGAAGTGTAGAGAGCATCTTTTCACATTGCTTAATATAATTATGTTGATGGTTAAACACCTGCAAGGAACAATTTCCCATGAACAGGTCATTCTCACAAGAAAATATGATTTATTAAATATTACAAACAAGGGATTTCACAAATGAAAGGATTTTTCCCCCTACTTTAGAGAATTCTCCCCTGTATTCTGACGGCCTGCAGTATTTTTTAATCCAAATCTATATAGAATATATTTGGTGTTTTTTGCACTTTTCTCCAGAATGTTTGGAAAAATTTGCATAAATCCTTAGTAGGCTTCAGAACTTAGGGAAGCGGTTCCAACTGACAAATTGAAATGGTTTGGTTCCAATCAAGTTAACCCGTATAAGATAAACAACATTTACTCATGATTCTCCATTCCAACAACATCAAGAATTCTTACCTCATTGACTGTAATAATCACCTCCATCTTATCACAATAAAAATATGTCAATTCCTTGTTATTTTTCAATAAACTTCTGTAGGACCTCACTAGTTAACAAATGGTTCTGTCAGTAATCACCAAATACACTGTATGTCTCGCTAAATTTGGACAGATTTGTGGTTATTATGAAGATCATTTTTAGAATATTTCAGAATAATGCCTGTTTCAGAGCCTTACAAAAAGTAAAATAAAGAACTGAAATGTTCCAACCATCCATGGCGACAATATTTCAGTTTTAAAATGTCTTATTATGCGCAAAAAACCCCCTCTTTAGGGATGAACAGCAAATGTTTGTGCAACCCATTTGGCAAACTTCCAAACATTCACCATGGATACTGCACCTTTAAAAAGCAAACTGATTTGCCAGAGACAAATAAAAATTGTAAACTTTTATGCAGAAAACAGTTGTAAGAGTCATGCAAACCAAAAATCACATTTAGGGTCAGTCTCATATTTGCAGGATGGAATGCAGCTGTGAAAAACTACAACTTTCTACTATTTTTGCCAGAGCATAAACAAAAACAGTGCAATGAATTCATACAGGCAAGCAAGGTTTCAAAATACTCGACAAACTTGATGAAAGTTAAAAACATTCATTGGCTCACAAAAAGTAATTTAAAACATTTGCTTAACCATGAACTAACATTTCAGAATACTTCCAGAGACAAAGAATCAATTTCTTAATTCCCTATTTTTTCTAATGGTCCAAAGGAATTAGCCCAACCATACTTTTTTGGCCGTGAAAATTTCATTTTCATTGAGGGATATAGTCATAAGATATCTTTAAAACTGAAACGTCATCAAGTATTTAAAAGAATGTTAATCATTCTTTCAGTCTGTCTGCTCCCTCTGATGCACTCATGCAACTCTAACTCAGTGATGCAATTAGCTCAGCTGCCTTTTAAGAAGTTGAAAAGAAGTTGTTCCTTCCAAATTATTTTCTGCTAGGAACCTCGATATCATGGACTTTGACTGGTGAGTACTGAGAATGTAGTCTCTGGTATGTCTACATGTAATAAATCGATAATTCAATCGTAAGATGGAAAATTATATCTAAAATTCTTCACTTTTAGTTAAAGCAGTTTTATCATGGGGGGTAAAAACGCGCTGCAGTGACAGGATAACATGAATAAAATACAGCTGACTCCGTTTTCGTTTAAGACCGCACAACACTTACCGACAGTAAAGCGCTCACCAAATGTTATAATAAAATCATTATGCGAGTATAACGAGCAAAATTATTGTTCAGACGTAAGCGAGAATACGATTTAACCTCGGTTTTTCCAATCTAATTTCGAGTTGGATATTTAGAGTAAACCCTTCTACGTCTTATCTTTACAGAATAACTGATGAATAAGTAGTTCTTGCAGAATTACATCGGTTGGCTAAGGGTGAGTTAAGAATTTCACTTGAGGTTATTAGTCGACCATCACCAGTTGAAACAATTTATTATGTGTCTAAACTTGTTTCGTGTGCTTGGTATTGCAGTAGCTAAACAGAACCAAACCACCAATTTAGCTGACTAAAATAGATTGCTGGTATTAGAGCGGAAGTCTGAAGACCAGGCAACAAAAATCCGTACGAGCCGAAACATACCGACCGCCATTTTAAAAACATTACCTCGCCTTTCACCGACGCAAATGTTGCATCTTTTCCTTTGCTTTCTTTCTGGTGATTGTGGAGTGAAGATCATACCAAGTTTTAACTGCAGCAGGGATAGTAATTTCTTGGGACGTGATGAATTGTAATTCCCGGAGGCTTGATACGATGAGTAATGGCGTAGGAAGTGTTCCGGGAGTACCCCTTACGATTGCCAACTCATTAGGGAGGGGTGGCCCCTGACAATATAAGCTACAAGTTAGTAAGCTTAAGAAATGAAAATATCGCTGCAATTGCTATGCGACTTAGGTGATGGCCAAAGAAAGTCAAACCTTAGCGCCTCCAGTTTCCTTTTATTCGACTTTTCCACCGTTGGACCTTACCTCGGGGAGAATTGTACCCTGGGGAATTGTGTAAATTACCATATAATACGTGTCGCGTCGGTTTTGAATGGTTATTCCCCTGTTTACCAATGCTAGTATTGGCAGCCGCTCTCGTGTTATTATACAAGCTTTTCTTAATGGAAAAATATGGTACCGAAAAGAAGTAAAGCGAGAACTCAGATAAATGTTTGATTTTTGACGACGACCTCTAGGGTTTTTGAACGTCAGTTCCGCAATATTTTCGGTACCCCAAAATTGGTTACTGGTTTTCTGTTTTGTTCCATTCCAACCTAATTTCGTTTGGTAATTGATACCTGTCTAAAAAACTGTGGAGAAAAATAAATTTCCCACGGATATTAAAAGGTTGCGAAATGTGTGGTTGTCACTATGTGCCTTAAGAAATTGACGAGGGATTTTGCAACACTTACGTCTTCCTCAATGGCACAGCAATGGCACGACTGGGGAGCCCTTGGTCCTTATTGGCTCGATCTCGTCCCCTGTCCCCAGATTCTGCATTCCGCAATTCAAGTATAAACCAACCGTAAAAGCCGCTTGACGGTAGAGGGCCTGGGACGGAACTTGTGTCAGCTGACATGTTGCATGTTTAATGCTGCGTCATGAGACTCGACACGAGATGTCCGTCGTGCGCTGAAGATTAGAAATGACGCCATACATTTGGGGAGCATGAAAGAGCGTTTTTAGTGAGCTCATGGCGTAAATGTCTCTTTGTCTTCAATGTCAAACGTTTCACAAGATGTTTTGAGCATTTCGATTTTCGTCTGGTAAATTTACTCCTTGTTAATTTGGATTCAGACAAAAAAAACAAGTGGAATATTCCCGTGCTTAGCATTGAAACAGTTGAAATCATTCTGATGGAAATCCGAGATAAGCTTAACATGATTAGTAAGAAAACAGGTAGGATTAAAATAGCTTGCGAGCAGTCCCTCACTGTTATTACGTCGACACGAGCGTTTCTTCGGGCCTTGAGTAAAGGGAGCTGGCGAGTTGCCTGCGTGCGTACGTCTCCTATTTCTTTTGTTTGACGCGTGCAACAAAGGAAATACTGAGGAGACGATAGGCTAGCAGAGTATTAGCGTCGCAGATCGTGTGTGTCTCTGTGGGAAGCTTTGAGACGAGTCGAGGAGAGGTTTCCTGGGGGTTTGGAATCCAAAATCTTAGAGGATGGCTTCACTGAATAGTGTGGCTTGACTGCCTGCTAAGAAAACAAGTGAAATCGAAAAAGGGGGTTTATTTGAAGAGATTTCAACTAAATTTCTTGGCTATAATTCGTAAGAATCTGCCACCTAAGCTGTCTTACCTCCATTCATAGGCGGAAGTCTTTGCGGAAGGAAATAGAGATACAAAAAATTGGACAGGGTGGGACGCTCTTTGCGGTACCACCAACCTAATATCATACCCGGACCCTCCGCGGCCAATCCTTTTCAGTTACAGTTCTGGATACGAGATTCATTGGTGGTGACTACCCACCAAACGCACTATTGCATCACATTACATTCTTCCGATCGAAAAGACGACCAGTGCTTCTTATTTTAATACAAGTACATACATACATACATACATACATACATACATACATACATACGTACATACATTTTTTATTGTGTTTTGGGATAAAAGTACAGTAACATGCCCGCTGGTCGGCTAAGCTAATCTAAGCGGGTCATGTTTACAGGAAATAGATACAACTAAATACAGCAAAAAGTAACAAGAGAACTAAAAAGCTAGAATTGACAACAATGATTAGAGACTACTGATAAACTAATGATATCACTAATAATAAATGACAACAGTCTCGACGGAAGATTACTGATGCATTAAACGCGGATATAATTGAATACATATCAACTGATCAATCAAGAGGAAGATAAATTCAACTGAACTTTTTGAACGATTTCTAGAAGATCAATGTAACAATTTTCTGAAGTACTTCTCAAGTTCTGATTTGCTGAGTTCAAAGTGGGCAGTCAAGTATTGATTTGATGTTTTCGAATCAGTGTGTTATTGTTACTCATTTTAGGTGGTAACCTGCACTTCAAAACTTCTTGGCTATCGATATATTTCGGGGTTTTCTTTTTTTTGACCCAGTTTTTCTGCATGAATTACAAGCAATTTGCCGAAAAGGTTCACTGAGTCCGCTAACTTTCAATCAGCAAGTTGGAAAAGTTATATGAGAGTCTATTTTTATTTACTTATTTATTTCCCACTACAATTAAACAGTACATGCAGTAGTGTAAGATTCTAGGAAAACAAAACGATATCCTAAACATTAATATGTTATAACACAGACGTAAGAAAAGGTTTACTTTAAACATAAATTATTCTTCTCTCATAGGCTGCGCTCCATGAACTCGGAGACAACGTGAGTGAGATGTGCGCGCGAGAAAGCAGATACGTTGAGCGTACGTGCACGTGAATATTTCTTCGCGTGTGCTGACTTACCTCGTTTACGCAGGGTACATTAGTTATATCTGCGCCGAAATCTTGTTTGGGTTGAAAAGTCTTTATTTCACCATGCTGGAGAGCATTTTACTGAACTTTTGCGTTAAAAAGCGAAGTGAGTCATACTACACTTTTATGAGCAAGCCTTAAGAGCTTAACAATCCGCCGTTCATTCAGCTTAATGACCTACAATCGGCGATTTATTTGTTGACACATTGATCTTTGCACCCCCAATTAAATTCTCTCTCCTTTGCCATCGTTAAGTTAACCTCTTGGCCTCCTTCCCCCCAAAGCAATTTTGTATCGTTATTCTGCGATTTTTAAGCCAACATTGAATGAGGGAGGGGATCTGTTAATGATTTAGAGAAAAAAAGATTAAGATTAAAAGATATAGTGGTAGAAACAGGACTGTTATTTTTCACATAAATAGAACTCTACAAACATGATGTGTCAACTAATCTTGACGCTGATTGTAGCTATACGCATTTATACAATTATAGGAATCATTTGCTAATCCTTATTGGCTAATTTCATGTTGATTTGATAAAACCTAATCCTTTAGAAGAAGCCTGAGGACGTTCCGAAAATATCCAATGACTTCCTAAAAGTTACGACACAACCACCTCTCTAAGAGCCGTAAAACTCTTGAACAAAAGCTCATCTTTCAAACCGGCAGTCTAAATCCCACAGGTATTAACGAACGCTTTTCATTCCACTAATTGATTCGTGTTTTTCTCGTTGCCATGTTCCCACCAATAACGTAGCTCCATTTTCTGCCTTTAAAAGCACACACAACCCACAATTCCTCTATTCGCTCCGACGAAGGGCTAACGCTCGAAACGTCAGCTTTTATAATCGTAACGGTGGCCAATTTACCATTTCAACTTTGTTGATATATTCAAATTATTTCGTTACCCCCACCGACGCAGCCCCAAACAGTTTCTTTAGAAACTATCAGCCTTTATTCATTTGTTCCATAATGTGGCGCCATTGTAGCTAAAGCAGCTTTTACTGTAATAATTAGTACGCGGTAATGGTACACTGAGCTTATTTTCAGAGTCCCTGAGGTCATAAGCAGAGTCACCCCACGCAAACTTTGAATACACGTACTCTGGAGCTAGCCCGTGCAGACATCTAAACATCATGGTGGCTTTATGTATTTCCTGCTGGCGTGCAAGATTTTTCCACCTTAAAAACTCGGGTAGCTTTGTTGCATCAGCATCATAGTTAGAGAATGTCAACACACGGGCTGCTCTATTCAGCAATTTCAGCAGTTTGTCTCGTAGCGTTTTCCCATGCACAGCTACCCCAAACAATGTCACAGTAATCAAAGTGAGGTTTTACTAAAGCTTGGTAAATGAGATGTAAGGTTGATGCTGGGATCAAGTGCCTAATTCGCTTTAGGGCCCCGATACCAGAGGCGTTCTTTTTCGTTAATTTTTCGATGTGACTATGCCAATCGAGTTTATCGTCTATTGTTACACCAAGCGATTTTGTAGCTGTAACCTGGCTCACTTGAGTATTGTTCATTCTAATTGTTGGTGAAGCTGTGAGAGTATTCAGTCTCTGCTTCAACCCTCTTAGCATGAATTCGGTTCTGGTCATGTTCAATGTGAGTTTGTTCGCTTGTAGCCAGTTGAAAACGTTTGCTAGGTCTTCATTTAGACAAAACTGAACATTCTCAAGTTTGCTGCCCGCATATGTGAGGTGAGTGTCGTCAGCGTACATTCTCGGTTTACGATTTGATAAGCAATTTGGAAGATCGTTGATATATAATAAGAACAATAATGGACCGAGAATGGTACCTTGAGGGATACCGCAAGTCAACGAGTAGCTACTGGATAGCGACCCGTTCACAGAGCATTTTTGTGTTCGGTTTTCCAANTTCACAACACTGAGAAAATATCGGGACCCAAACGATCCATTAAGATCACCGATCACTTCACGTGCACCTCCGCCAATGTAATCTATTGCATAACTTGCACTTATTGCAAAAAGATTTACATCGGCGAAACAGGCAGAAGACTAGGTGACCGATTCCGAGAACACCTTCGCGACGTGGAGAGGAATGACAAGGACACATCGAAACCAGTCGCTAGACATTTTAATTTACCTAATCATTCTAAGCAACATATGGCAATCTGCGGTCTTTCCTTACACTTAGGTAGCACGGAAAGCCGTAAAACTCTTGAACAAAAGCTCATCTTTCAAACCGGCAGTCTAAATCCCACAGGTATCAACGAACGCTTTTCATTCCACTAATTTATTCGTGTTTTTCTCGTTGCCATGTTCCCACCAATAACGTAGCTCCATTTTCTGCCTTTAAAAGCACACACAACCCACAATTCCTCTATTCGCTCCGACGAAGGGCTAACGCTCGAAACGTCAGCTTTTATAATCGTAACGGTGGCCAATTTACCATTTCAACTTTGTTGATATATTCAAATTATTTCGTTACCCCCACCGACGCAGCCCCAAACAGTTTCTTTAGAAACTATCAGCCTTTATTCACCTCTCTAATGCTTTCGTTTCTGAAATCAGATGTTTCGGGAGATGCACGATCACAGACAAAGCCCGATCTTTTCTTGGGTTTTGTTGAACCTCTTTCCTTGAGTTTTGTTGAACCTCTTTCCTTTACATTTTCCTTTTATTGTCATGGCTGTAATAATGTAGGACATTTCTTCAAGCGTGAAAAATGTAAGCTGGTATAAGAGAAGCATTTTCTAGTGTGCACAAAGCCCTTACTTTCAAGACGTGAGAACTTGCTCTCTACTCATACAAAATAAACCAAGCCAATCCAATAGGCTAAATTGAAAATTGTGAAAGCAATGACGAAAGCTATTCTCGCGATAAATTCCACGTCTTTGGAATTGATTTCTTTGCTGTCTGGTGGCGATGAATCATCCTTTGGAGACTCTTTGCTCGGCGAGTGAGTCTTTGCTACTTCCATCGAATACAGCCCACCTCTGTAACACGAGTAATCACTGCTCAAGTTGCCGTAAGATTCATGCAAATGATCTTTTTGTAGAAATGGTGCCTTAAGCATTAAAAAACTCCTCTGGAAATATCAGAGAAAAAAAATCTCAATGCAAATTTTAATTTTGGTAATAATACGCTACTAATGTCGAAGTTTGGAGAGCATGAAAGATTTATATGAGTGCTCTCCAACCCACTAGATGCTTCAAATCTCCATAAATGTACACCTGACGTAAGATGCAATTGTTTTATAATATATTTAACGCGGTACTACCATAAGTTCCTTTTGTTGCGATTCATTGCGCACATTCACGCCATCAACGCTCACAGTAGTAAAACGAAGTACGCATCATTTGCGCGGTTGAATTTGATTACGGGAATTTACTAGCTAAGTTATGAAACACAATATTAGTTCCTTTTCAATACCTTTGCCCTTTCCTTGTGTATCAAGATAATGTACTCCAACATGGTACACAGAACGAAGAAGAAACTTGTCATGAGATAAACGTCGATAGCTTTCACGTACGAAACTCTCGGCATAGTGGAGTTGACAGAGCCCCATATGGTAGCAACTGTCAAAAGTGTTGTGATGCACAACCCCACCCGGGCGGGGGTGGCTTTGCTGTCGACAAACAAGGACATCCAGGCCACAAAGACCACAGCTATACAGGGGATGTATATCTGTATCAATTAAAAACCCATCCTTCTTTTGAATGTAAACGTCGCCTGAAGAACTGAGTATTCACCTGGTTGGAAATTAGAAAAGAATTCGTGAAATTAGACAACTTGTCAAGTGAGAAACGTAAATAATAAGGGTTGCTTCTGTAGTAACCTAAGGTCCTGTAAAGGCCGCTAACCGGCAAGCGGCAGAGAAAACCCGAGAGGATTTATCAAAGGGTTGTGTTTTCACCAATCTGTGTAGTATTTGAGAATTCGTGTACCGAACATAACATGGTGTCAGGACCGGGATACGAATACTAGTCTAGCCGAAACCATTTTGCCAGCGGATCTGCTGGACAAAGCAGAGAAAAAAAAAAGGACGAATCAACTTGTTGTGCCTCGCACGTGGTCTCAAACAAGATGGCGGAAGGCATGCCTTTCAGGTAAAAACCACCAGAGCCCCTGGAGATTTCGACGGGAAATCCGGCCTTTTCGTGGGGAAAATGGAAACAGTAATTCGAAATCTACCTCAAGGCAACCGGAGCGTCGAAGAAACCGGACGAAATGAAGGTAGGACTGCTATTGAATCACTTCATTTACTTACCCGAGCGTGACGATCCCGCGGGAGGAGAAGACAAACTCCCGGCCGAATTATGCGACGATTATGCGACCGTTTTAGCAAAGTTCGACGAATACTTTCACAAACGAGACCCTCAACTCATGCTCCGAGAGAAATTTTGTCTTCACCCCACACGAGATTGGACACAAACCTTTGATTCTTGGGTTGTCATTTTCAAAGAAAGAGCCACTGAGTGCAAGTTTCCCGCAAATTTCTATGAGTAAGCGGTAAGGGACAAACTTACCTTTTCCTGCAAGGAAGTCAGCTTCAAGCTCAAACTTTACAACGAGGGAGCAGCCCTTTCACTGGACAGGACTATTCAAATACTATCACTGAAGGAAGCTACGAAACGTGTGTTGCAAGAGTCAAGCAAGATCGAGAGTATCACAAAACGAGAGATGGCTCCTTACAGCGGAAACGGCGCTTATAAGGGAAACAAGCCAGATCCTAAGAAGATACCCTTCCAGGAACGCGACAAAAGTTGCGGATACTGCAACCGCCAGCACCCCCCAGGTAGGAGGAATTGTCCAGCTGCAATAACGAGATGCATCAAGTGCAACAAAATTGGACATTTTCCTGAAAAATGCAGGAGTACACCTGTTAACTTGGTTAGTCAAGTTTAAGAAACTGAGGGTGATTTTTGCCTCAAATTTGTTGGAGTAGTTACAACGCACAGTTCAATTTCCTTAACTCTAACACCCAACATAGAACCAGCCACCATTCATCAAACCTCCACCTCTGACTCTAGTTGGTATGTCAAGCTTAGGGTTCAAGACCAGAAGGTAACATGGTGTATTTACACTGGTGCTAAAGTATCTGTAATGCCGGAGTCCCTTTACAAGGAATCGCATGGGCCATTATCAAAAGCAGACAGAGAGCTTGTTGGAGCAGGAGATGTTCTCCTGAGGACCCTTGGATTTGCGCTTATGAATCTTGCCTTGCACAAAAACTCGAGTTAGCATGGGTGCAGACCCTTGCGTATAGAAGAGATAAGATACGTAAAGAGTATATGTGCGAAATGAAGGACTCAAACCACCCTCTCCAACCTATTCTACCAACACGCTTAGACGATACTTGTCCCTATAACCTCAGACACAAATCAGACCAGTTGTATCGTTACAGAACGTTACTACCTGTGGAACGAAGCGCACCGAAGACTTCTTAAATTTTAAGTATTTTTAACAAATGTGATGTATGTTCCGTGTGGTGTATATAACTTGTACTTAATGTATACAGAAATGTACATAGTCGTTCTTATTAAGTTTTCATTGTATCATAACTCGTTAATTCAGTAAGTTACTGCAAGAAAAGTTTAATAAACCATTATTATTATTATAAACCAGAATCCAGGAAAGAGTATACATTGTCAAAGGGGCATCCAAACTGCTTCTCGGGATACCCGCAATTCGCAGCTTTGGCCTTACTCGTGAAATACCAGGAACCTACAGAGTCAATCCAGTCGAGCATTCGCGGTCTCCTGATTTTCCACCTCGACTGGACGTAAAGGAGCACACTGTGAAGCAGTACCCGATGCTCTTTCAGGGCCTAGGCAAACTGGAAGGTGAGTACACTATCATCGTCTGAAGGATGGGGTCACACCATTTTGTTTGACCACTACAAGGCGGGTTCCTTTACCCCTCATGAAGAAAATAAAGCTTGAACTACAACGCATGCTGCAACTTGACGTCATAGAACCGGTAGACGAGCCGACCGACTGGTGTTCACCCATTGTGGTAGTGCCGAAGGCAAATGGGTATGTTCGGTTATGTGTAGACCTTACTAAGCTCAGCCAAGCAGTTCGTTGTGAAGTGTATTAAATACCTACTGTCGAAGAGACACTCAGTAATCTTACAGATGGATCAGTTTTCTCCAAGCTTGGTGCCAATTCAGGCTTTCACCAAATAGTCCTCAACTCAGAGAGTGCTAAGCTAACTACCGTCATTACTGCGCCTTTCGAAAGATTCATGTTTAAACGTCTGCCCTTCGGAATATCATCAGCCTCCGAATATTTCCAAAGGAGGATGGATCAAGAGCTTTCAGGAATAGAGGGGGTGAGGTGTCGTATGAACGATATTCTAATCATGGGAAAAAACCAAACCCAACATTATGAGCGGCTCAGAAAAGTTCTCGACAGGCTAGTAGAGAGAGGACTTTCGCTCAACCGCGAGAAGTGTTTATTTCCCCCAAAGCAGGCTGCAATACTGCAAATTTTAGAATATCAAATATTATATACGATATTAGAATATCGTTCATACGACACCTCACCCCCTCTATTCCTGAAAGCTCCAGATCCTCGACAGTCAGGGGGTGAGGAAACATCCCTTAAAGGTCAAAGCCATTGTGGACATGACAGAACCCAAGGATATTGTGGACCTGAGACGATTCTTAGGATTAGTCAATCATCTTATGAAATTTAGCCAAAATTTTGCGGAGAAAACGAAGCCCCTATGAGACTTGCTTAAGAAGGAAAATGCTTGGGTGTGGGGCCCAGCCCAACAAGAAGCTTTCAAACGCCTGAAGACAGAAATGGCTTCGGAGAATGCACACGCTCTGTATGACCCAGCAAAGGAAACAAGTGTTTCCTCAGATACAAGCAGTTCTGGACATGGTGCAGTCATTATCTAAAAGCAACCGTCTGGTGAACTAAGGCCAGTTGCCTGCGCTAGTAGGTCCATGACCGTAACTGCTAGTAGGTCCATGACCAAACTGAATGTCGCTATGTCCAAATCGAAAAAGAGGCTTTAGCTTTCACGTGGACACTAGAACAGTGGGCAGACTTTTTGGTCGGAATGAAATTTAAAGTACAAACAGATCACAAGCCATTATTACCACTGTTTTCCACCAAGCTTATCGATGAGCTCACAGTGCGCATTCAACGTTTTCGAATGAGACTCCTGAGATTCGACTTTGCGATCGAACACGTTCCTGGTAAGGCCCTGTATACAGCCGACTCACTGTCCAGATCTACTCAGGACAACGAAGCCCCTGCATCCAAGTCATGGAATGACTTACACGATGAAGTAGAGTGCTACGTGAATTCAGTACTTGTTACGTTACCGGCATCGGATCAGCGACTGGATGAGATCCGCCGTGAAATGAACAATGACGATGCAGTATGTACAGAATGGGTGGCCAGACAAGAAACGCCGCGTTTTTGGGCTAGTGGCAAAGTATTGGAGTGAATGCGGTACTCTTTCCCTCCATAATGGGTTACTTCTGAGAGGGCGTCGACTAATTATTCCCCCTAAACTAAGGCCAGATGTACTGAGACACCTACATGATGGACACCAAGGCATAACCAAGACGCACGCAAATGCTGCCTCGTCAGTCTGGTGGCCGGGGATCTCTTACGACATTTGCAAGGTTTTGAGAAGCTGTGCTATTAGCGAGAAGTACCGGAGAGAACGCATAGAGCCATTGAAAGGCACTGCGCTTCCTAATCGACCATGAAGTAGAGTTGGCGTGGACTTCTTCCAGCATGAGGACAAGACCTATCTCATGGCCATAGATTATTTCTCTGGAGATGTAGAGGTTTGCTTGGTGTCCAAAAGCGTGAACACTTGCCAGACCATCTTACAATTTAAAAAGATCTTCAGCAGACACGAGATTCCCGAGATTCTCTTCACTGATAATGGTCCTCAGTTCGAATCACGCGAGTTTACAACCTTCTCTAATTAATGACTGGCACTTTGAGCACATCACTTCTTCTCCAAATATCCCTAGTCTAATGGAGAGGTCGAACGTGCCGTGCAAACCATGAAGAGGATCATGAATAAGAGTAGCGACGAATACTTAGCTCTACTGACTTACATAGATACTCCATTACACAATGGCTACTCACCAGCCCAACTCAGCATGGGCCGAAAGTTACGCACCAGAATTCCTTGTCACGTCGATGAGCTGCTGCCACAGACCCCTGACCATGACCAGGTCAAGAAGAAAGAGAGAGAATACCGAACCAAAATTAAGTCCTACTACGACCACAGACATAGAGTCGATGAAGGAGAGGAACTCTTCCCTGGCGATCGCGTGTGCATCCCAGATATGAAAGTTGAGGGAACTGTGATCAAGCCACATGAACGTCCAAGATCTGTAGTTTTTCAGACACCAAATGGCAAAGTGCGAAGAAACAGGAGAATGACTCGAAGAGCTCCCAAGGATGGTCCTCGTTCCTCGTTTGCCCTTAGAAGCCGTGACAGCCCTGAACCATTTATGAGACATGGCCCAGTAACAGAACTTCCTACTTACTTTGCTGCGATTCAAGACAGCCCAGTACCAGACTTTCCTGATATACCCGATGCGATCAGAGAAGCATCCCGACATTTGCCTACCCCGCTTGGGAACCAAACAGTCGAGTACAAGTCTTCACAGACGGAAGCGTGGTCGAATCGTCTCAGGCCTAGAGGAGTTATTGAAAGACCACAGAGATACGTCGAAGAATACTAGAAACTTTTCTTAAGAACTCTTAGGACTGTTTATACTTATTCGTGTTTAAAAGGAAAGGAGATGTAGTGACACGAAGTCTTGTAAAGGCCGCTGACTGGCAAGCGGCAGAGAAAACCCGAGAGGATTTATTAAAGGCTTGTTTTCTCACCAATCTGTGTAACATTTATGAGTTCGTATACCGAACATAACAGCTTCCTTCTGTGATTGGTGTACAAATCTAGCCCCACCTTCTTGACCAATCGGATTAAGAACTGAAAAAAGAACTCTTGAGGCATTTGCGTTTTCCCGGGCCTCAGGCATTTCGCTTGTTTTTCAAGTTTTCGTTGAAATCTCATAACTTCTTTGTGATATCTTACTTTGGCCGTTGTGTTTTCTATCGAGTCATTTTAACAAAACAAAGTCGGAATGCGCCCTGAAAACTTTGACTCTTTTCACAAAGGACCGCTAAATCTCGTCTTACTAGCTTACTCGCCCAATAATGACTTTATCCTGGCATTTGTTATGCGTGAAGCTGGATTGTATAACTCCCCTGTTTCATTTTGCTCACGAGATGAGATGTATGTAGGATAATGTATCACAACATATTTACTTTTTGATTTCTCCTTAACTTTTGTGATAAGATACAAACGAAGGTTTGAAAGGAGATAAACGTCGGCGACAAACGCGCATGTGCATCGGAACGGCTTCGATACACCTGATCACTCGACTCACCAGCAACGTACTGAACTCGATGTACAGCGGTAGACATGTTCGTCATGTAAAACTGCGCCATTTCCTTGTCCAATACGATCACGCCTGGGTCGGACTTCCAGGTGAAAATCAAATGGTTCGTAGGGTAGGCATCTGTGAAAATGTATTTAATTAGGAGAAAATTATTATAGTACGGAAAGACGTCCAGGTTCGTGACTTTATCCGTTTTTCATTTCAGAAAGCTTGGAGCTCGTACGCGTATTCCTGAAAAATTTTAGCCGATTTGAGTGGATATATTAGAGTGCTTTCGATCGCCACAGCCTATGATACATTTCATAAATATTTAAGTGAGGTAACATTGAAGAAAAAGGGAAAACAAGGGAAAAAACATAATTCTAAATCAAACCATCCGTTTCGCGTAATTTCAGGTTTTCTTTCCAACTTGGTTCGATGGGAAAGGTTGGGAAAACTTAGCCCATCGCGTGGTCCTTGCGTTCAAACTTACTCCTGTTTTCTGGTCAGTTATGCACATTGGGTAATTGTAAAAACTGTGCAGCCCTTACAGCTCACAATACTCAGGGAGCAAGTTTGTTCATCCATGGGAAACGTGCGGAAATTCATGTGGCACCTTGCTGTCAGAGTTGCTCTGTTAATTAAAGTGGAAAAAAAGGTGTCACAGCTGTCATCTTAGCAATATTTCCCGGTCGTATGGTGAGAGTCGAATCGCGCTCTAGTAGTTTTAAGTCAAAACCGTTCTCAGGACCTTTCCCCTTGCACTGTGAGAGTAAAGTATCTCCTCTCCAAAAACAAAACATAACGACCTCGCTTGGTCTCGAACCAGGACCTCTCGGCCTAGAGTCCAGCGCATCAACCGTTAATTCAACGCGTCCTTTTTTTTCTTATTCTTTTTTCATCAATTCACTTTGCATGATCAAGATTTGGAGGCTCAAGAGGCATCGGTTCTGAAACTGGAAAGACCCAAGAGGGGACGTGGTAACTCTAAAATTATCATTACGGCACAACCTCATTTCGCAATCACAATTCCAAACGAATATCAACAGTCTTAAGTCAGGTAGAGCTCTCTATAGAACTGCGTGAGCACTCATTCTTGAAGAGGCATTTTCATGTAAAATAGACAGGATACATCGGGGGTAGGAAGTCCCATGATCGCCGTAGATCTTTCGGTTTGAAAGACTATACTAGAGGTAAAAAAAAATAAACCTAGATCAAAAGTTGAATGAATGAAGAAAAGCGAGATCCTGGGTCGAGGCAAATAAATTGAAGACAATAAAAAGAATTCATTCAAAGCCTTCCACTGTCTACAAAACGTATCCGGACAGATAAGCGTGCGGGCACCTGAGAATGCAGGTACAATAATAAATTTTTTGCGAAGTTAAGTTTTGGAGTAGAGACAATATTTTTTCTGCCCCTTTGCAAATGGCAAAAAGCCTTTTTTTTTGGACGAAAGCGGTTGAAAAACTCCCAGATTCATGCCTTAAGACTAAATTTTCAATAATTATTATTTTACGTCATTAAATTACGTGTCCTTTTCATTAAATTTTAGATTTACCTTTTAAATGAACTTAGTTTCACTCGGTGTGACACTCTTTGATAGTCCTTCAGCGACCCTCTGCTGACAAGTGCTTAAAAACTTTGATATTTTCTATCGCCTTTATGTGCGTTTTGGCTGCGGCATCTGTTGATAGCATGAGTACAGGATAAAAAATCTTAATCAGTTCCTTTTCACCTCACATTAAATATTGAAGACCTTCAGCATATGTATGGTGGAGAGAAAGGGTGCATTATGTCTTCTGTAACAAAGATGATCAAAAGTGAGGAGATTTTATCGAGTGAAATCGGTCACGCTCTCAAAGATCACTCCTTGGAAAGATAAAATTGGTATCTTCATGAAAGGAATTTTTGGCGTAATACTTCTCCCATAAAGTCCGACGAAATAGCTTTTAGCGTACAGATCTTCGATTAAAGAACGGTGTGGATAACATTCTTGAAACCTAAGGCAGTTGTCATTCTGAAACGATTTCGAGCTGAATTTGTTATAAGCTGGCGAGTATTGTTATTGGGTTACGGGGCAATAATAAAATAATAAGTACTTTGAAAATATGTCTATATGTGTGATATCTATCGTAGTTAACAGGCGGCGGTGGTAAAAACGGGAGTGCCTCAGAATTTATGGATGATTGTCGTGCTGATAGGGAACAATATTACCTACTGCACGCACCGCCTCATTTAATGCTCGCACAACCAACTTATCACGCTTGTAAGTGTCCAGGATTTGCTAAGAATCTTATAAGAATGTAGCTTTTTTCATCTCAGCTACTTTCTGCACCAATTTACGAACCCGTATTTCCTAAATTTTTTACCGTCAAATTTTTCTCGGGAACTCGATGGGTTTTGTGTTTTAATTTGTCTTGCGATTTATTTCACCTAATCAACTTTTTAGGTACACCTGAAATAAACTGTTTTTGACGTATGCAATGGGCAGGTTTTTAAATCAAAGTTCAAATGAAAGCAATCTTAGACTGCTGCATAATCGGGCATATTATGCCACAAATGCAGATCCATGAAAATGAATTTATTCTTGCACAAGAAGTGTATAGAAACTGATTATAAATTTGCCAAACAGTTGTTAAAACTACATACACTGACTTACAGAAAACGAACTTAAATCAAGAAGTCCTAATTTTTTAAGTCCTCGAAGCTCTTTGTATGCTGTGTTTTGGGTGTAAGGCTAGTTTGTGTAACATAATAATACCCATGTTTTTAATTGTAAGTGCTCGTGGAAACAATATAAAAAGCTACTCATATAAATTCTCCAAATTGAATTCATGTATAGCCTGGTATATGAATTTCGTAAGAAATTTTCAATTAAGGCATTTGACGCCAGAAAAACCAATTACAAAAAAATAAAATAAGAGACCTTAGATTTCTTTTCCATAACACTGTTTGACTTTAAGAAAAAAAAAACCGCAAATCAACTGCTTTGAGGCCAAGTCTCGAGGGTTTTTGAATATCCAGTTAGGAGTGGTTTCAGTGGTTTCGTTTGGTCACGAGCATGGTGGATCGGTCAATGTTGTTCTGTCTGAAAAGTGTTGATAAACGAGAATGTCACTCCCTTCCTCTAGGCTGAAAACATGTCTTTTTCGAAGATGACCATCTAGTGGTATTCATTCTTCGTTGGGTTTTTTCCGTTGAAAATGGAGGAATTCTTAAAAATACTGTGCCGCGGACTCTTCAAATCTAGGCTCTATTTCAGAGCCAAACATATCATTTCCAATTTCCACACCTGTTCTTGAAAGTCCACCTCCCTTTTCAGTTGTTGCTTTTAAAAGTCGTTTTGGGGTTACCTGTTTATGAGGCAGTAATCTTTATTGCAGCGCATTTTAGCTTAGCATCAGAACTCAAGTAAAGAGTTAGTAAAATTTACTCAAATTTCTGAACTGGAATGATATTTGTTAACTTTTCTGTCTCTAATATTTCTTTGGAGAAAGACAAATAGGATCATCATACGCAATTTAGACCACGATGGTCAAAATCTACGTCAATTCCAAGCCAAAAATGGCTCAAAATCCACACCCCTCAGGACAGAACATACCCATCTAGCTTAAGTAGAATAGAATATCTGCGCAAACTCTTTATTTCATACATTTTTAAAGCCAATAATTTGACTGAAGAATAGCTTTTGATAGAAAAGGCTCATGCGACGATTATCGAAGTTCCATGGATTATATTCGCTGACTTTAACAATTGCTAACCCTCAGCAACATCAACTTGAATGGTCAGCGCGCCAGTAAACGTACTACACAAATAAAACCTGGGTCAGTCCGAGTCCTTAAGATGAAAAAAACAAAGACCAAACCAAAATCATAGTCAGTTAGTTTTTAGAATGACAGTTCATTGCACATGTACGTAATTCTCTTCTTTTCTCTATGCATATAGTAACCTTCCACATCATCTATCTCAGTCCATGGCGGTCCAAGTTTATCCTCGGAAAAGGACTCATTCAAATTTTCATTTAAAACGTTTCGGCACGATCTTCAGTCGGCTACGCGCTAACGTTTTGGTCTCGAAACATGCATGTAACAGCTTGAAGGCAGAATTGGTACCCTGAGGGTTTTGAGATCGCGAAACTTCTGATAGGCTCTCAAATAGATTGGACCGTTGCCTTGTATAAAGTAAAACTGATATTTTGTAAACCACAGAAAAGGTTATCCTATAGAAGTTATATCAATAAGGGGAAAGGTTAACCGGACTGTGTCAGAGAGGCTTTAGTGGCACTACTTTGAGTAAGCTTACGTTATCTCTAAATGATGCCAAATGTTTTCACATTCAGATGATGTGATAGTCTAGTTTGCTGATTTTTAATTTCTATTTTATAGTAAAGGTTGAGGTGATTCAGTCCTCTATTTAATTTATATATAGAATTTATTCATTATTTATTCTTAAACTCAATTATCTTTAAATTTTACGCATAGTAAACTAGATTAGTGTTAAAAAACAAAATGACTGAAATAAATAAATAATTTGTCAGTTTTCGTCAATTCTCACGAAAAAGTGAGTGGATAACGGAATAAACAAAAAAACAAAGCATTTCGATGGTTTTAACAACTTCAAGACACATTTAGCTAAATAACTCGTAAAAAGAACTGCAGTTATCAATGAGAAGTTAAAGTTTGCGTCCTTTTTTTAGGGAAATTGCATTGAAATAGAAAGATATCTCTGGGTGCATGTAATGGAAGGCAAGAGAAAAAATTTAAGCCGGTTAGAATTTGAAGAATTGAAAACAGACAAAAACGAAAAAACAATTATAAAAACAACAATCACGGTGGTTTTTAAGGTTGAAACGAATCACCAATGAAGAATTTACCTGATGAACTTACTTTTGGAAATGCATAAGACGCCAAGTGGTTGAACTGAAGTGACTATCAGTGTTGACAGTGTAGGCCCGTAACAAACTCACCACAGTGTGTTCCCAGGAGGAAGCGTTTAGGAAAAACAATAGCAATAAATTGGAAAATCTGTTTTGGTGATCACACAGACTAGGAAACAGTTTTTTTTTACAAGTAATTTTTTTGTGTTTGGAATCATTTCCTATGTCAATTTTTAATTATTTCTTTTTCTTTCTTCTTTTTAATTCAAAGCAGTTTTAAACACCGAGCAGACTTAAACATAATTTTGTACAATTCTTTCGATTGGGATGACGATTAACAACTTCTTGCGATCCAAATGAGTCCTATAAAGTCCAATGGTTTAATACATGCATTAACCACTTTGTACGAAGAAATATGATTTCTATGACTAATTCATGATGACACCGAAACGTCGGTTTTTATCGTTGGTCTTTCAGTGCATGTCTTCGTAATTCATTTTGAGCCCAAAATTATTTTGGCTTGATTTCTACATTTTTTGTTTGAATGTAAAGCTAAAAACATGTCAAGCTGTTAATATGGTAAAGAAGGTTTCAGCTAAATCGAATAAAGTAGATAATAAATTGAGGACAGTCATCAGCAGTAATTACATCTCTATTTTCCTATTGGTTCCTACCCTGTAGTTATTAACTTAGGCCGAGAAAAGAAATGCGGCCATTAGGGTAAAACATTATGGAACAATAGCCAAAGTGTTTGAGTCAAGCAGTTAAATCGTAGTGATGAATTTTTTTTTTAATGCTTGTAGTATTTGAGTCATGCAGTTAAATCATAATCTTATTCTTTTAAGTTTTTTTGATAAAATTTGCGTTATTTGCATCATAATCCTAAACCACTTGAGTGGCGTAGGCAAGTTTAATAACAGATGTAGCCATATTGTTTTTTATCATTTAATTTTGCTAAAAATTTGAACTGCGAAATCTAGTTTCCAATATTGTGGTTCACTTTGAGTTGCTTTGCCCTTTAAGGTAATAAGATAAAATCAGAGTAACACTCAAAAGCCAGGTCGTTTTG